TGGACAAAACGGAGCTTACTTCAGAGCAGGCATGTATAGGACTGTACCAATGTTGGTTCTGGCATTTGTTCTCCTTCTTACCAGAGTCTTTGTAAATGCACATTTTCCTGTCACCTCACACTCCCAACCCCTTAGTAACCTGCCACTTCTCTTGTCTTTGTCTAGTCCGCAGAGCTGTGGGGAAGAACAGTTCTTTTGCATTGCCAATGCCTGGTTAGGCTGGTTTGCATGAGCCTCCTTGTCTGGCATAGTTCTGCGGCTTGCATTTTCCCTTCCTATCCTAAATATTAACTAATTTCTGACATTCGTTAATTTATTGGGTTTAGGGGGGCGACTCTCAAACTTAAAACGCTTTGTTAAGGGTTGATCACACTTTCCTTCTGCAGCCTTTTATCCTTCCTGAAGAAGCAGCCACCCCACTATATTTTTACAATTATCAAGCTACTGAAGAAGGATTGCAGATAACACTTTCTCACAGCAGTAAAGGGAGAGTTTGTCACATTCAGCATATCCACTTAAGTTGTTTGTATGCATCCTTAGAAAGAGAAGCAGAATAGGTATGGAGATACGCTCACTTCTGTAGGAAGGACTCAGAAATGGTTATCAGACGGAATAGTATTTCGACTGCCTGCCGGGCTTTTCAAGGCCTGACAAAAACAACCTTTTCCCAAAAGTCTTTCTGATCTATTGAGCCTCACAGAATGGGAAGAAATTCAATTTGTGGTATATTTGAAGAGAGGGAAAATTAGTGTATCATTCATGGGAAACCTCCGGCCAGCAGCCCTATGAGACCCAATGGTGGTTCTAATTTGGGCAGCTAGGCTGCTCTCCCAATCCCACACTCACCTGGCACACACCTGATGCCGTAGGATATCAGGTGTGGGACAGGTAAAAATGCAGCTGCAAAGGAACAATTAGGAACCTTCAAGTGCACTGCTGCTTTTTCCATGGCAAGCAGGACTTTTAAATTTGGCTACAAATGCAAGTCCTACTAGGAATGATACCACTCAGGAGCCATTACAATAACAGTTCTGCTATGTGTAAGGCAGAAGTGCTTGAGCATGTTTTAATGACAGTTCTCTCATGGAAAATAAAATGGAATCCCAGGAAGCAGTCAGTACTTTCCCCCAAATCACAGTTCATTTGCACAAGGAATGCAGCTAACCGCAAGATAACTGCTGTAAACCAATTAGAAAATGAATGATAATAGATTCTTTTCTCAGCTGAGAAACAGCACTCAAAAACAGCATTAAAAGATGTGCATGCACAGGTACAGAAGTCATTGTGTACAAGCCCAGAACAGGTAAAGGTAGTTGAGGGTGGGAGAGGAGGTCGTAATTAAAGATAAGGGTTGGGAAACATAGCATAGCAATGTTGCACCAAAGGTTGCCTACTGATATGGATGTGAAACAGCAGAATACCTATGAAAATGTAAGACTAAAAAAAGAGTGTATGGATGTTTATGTGTCCATAATGTACCCAGAAAAATTGGATCTGAACAATCCATTTGCAACATGAAGTCCCTGCCTGGAAACACCCAATGAAAGTTATTTCTGCCTGGTGTGTCCTCTAAGCCTTCCATGGCAATCATTTCATTTAGTGGTTTGCTAAGCTATATCATTAGGTATTAATGATGCAAACATTATTCCTTAATGTTTTGATGCTGCCCAGCACATTATTGCTCTGGGCCTGTGCATTTTAAAGCTTTGTGCCAATGTTAGAAAACTATAAAAACATGCTTTATTGCATTTCTTATTGTAATATCCTCCCTTTTTCAGAACATAAGCTCTTTAGAGCTAAGTCTTATATTGCTTTTGCTTTAGTTGACTGAAAATTTACTTTTACCCTGAACAGAGCTGTAGTTCTTCTCTATTATTTTTCTTTTTAATCAGGAACATGTATATACCACCTTCCCACGAGAAATCCACAAGGCATCTAATAATCAATAAAAGCCAGTGTCAAATATTTAAAACCCCAATATAACCAAAAGAGAGTAAAAATCAGCAGGAGCAGGTAAGTACAACCCCTACTACAGCTATCATATTGTTCCAAAGCCCAGGGGCTCGATAGTGTCTTGCCAAGCCAGGTAAAAGACAAGAGGAACCAAGTTGTGTTGGTGCCACAGCTGAGAAGACCCTGCATGATATCCACAATCAGGACCAGCAGGACATGGATGGCTTCCCACAGCAAGCATGATAAATAGGAAGCAAGTATGTGAGGAGAGCCTCCAAGGAAGATCTTAATGTGTGGGTAGGGTGATGGCAGAAAGTGAGGAGGAATTAAAGAACCTTTTAATGAAGGTGAAAGAGGAGAGTGCAAAATATGGTCTGAAGCTCAACTTCAAAAAAACGAAGATCATGGCCACTGGTCCCATCACCTCCTGGCAAATAGAAGGGGAAGAAATGGAGGCAGTGAGAGATTTTACTTTCATGGGTTCCATGATCACTGCAGATGGTGACAGCAGTCACAGAATTTCTTGGGAGAAAAGCAGTGACAAGCCTAGACAGCATCTTAAAAAGCAGAGACATCACCTTGCTGACAAAGGTCCATATAGTTAAAGCTATGGTTTTCCCAGTACTCGCAGTGATGTATGAAAGTGAGAGCTGGACCATAAAGAAGGCTGATTGCCGAAGAATTGATGCTTTTGAATTATGGTGCTGGAGGAGACTCTTGAGAGTCCCATGGACTGCAAGAAGATCAAACCTATCCATTCTGAAGGAAATCAGCCCTGAGTGCTCACTGGAAGGACAGATTGTGAAGCTGAGGCTCCAATACTTTGGCCACATCATGAGAAGAGAAGACTCCCTGGAAAAGACCCTGATGCTGGGAAAGATTGAGGGCACAAGGAGAAGGGGACGACAGAGGATGAGATGGTTGGACAGTGTTCTTGAAGCTACCAATATGAGTTTGACCAAACTGCGGGAGGCAGTGGAAGACAGGAGTGCCTGGCGTGCTCTGGTCCATGGGGTCATGAAGAGTCAGACACAACTAAATGACTAAACAACAACAGGATAATAAGGAAGAAGAATAGGTCCTCAAGGATCTGGGAACCAGGCTTGTTTATCGTAAGTCACTACAAACAGTTTGCAATAGACCTGGGAACCAATGGTAAACAATCACTGCTGCTGTAAAATTGATGTAACATGGCCCAATCCAACTGGCCAACTTCAGCCTATAATCTGGCAACTGTGTTCTGTACACAGGCATTTTGAACAGTTTTGGAAAAGCAGCTTCACAGATACAGCAGTGCAATAGCCCAGTCTTGATGTGACCAATGCATGAATCACTGTTTTCTGGTTGTTCTGTAAAATAAAAATAAAAATGGAGAAGTGATATCAGTGTGACTGCATGAGAGGGTGGAGGCCAGCTGCAAGGTCTGTGAAACTCATGCCAGCTAGTTCCTGCAGTCTTCGCTGAAGACAGAAACAATAGCAAGTCCAGCACAGAGAATGTACTCTGTACGCTTGAAGAGGCTATCACTGTGAGGTTTCTCTGATCACATAATTTGTGTTATTTAGCACCAACCTCAAGACAGCAAGAGTTCGTGCAAAGTGCCTCACTGAAGAAGCTGAACACATATTAGAGATTTATGTTGAAAGATGAAGTGGTACATAAATGAATTAAATAAAATATTCATATCAATACAACACACTCATATATTTTTCATTTCTCAAAGTACTTATATACCATCCTCTCACAAAGTATCGGGGGAGTGTACAGGAATATAAAAACATAATGAACAATAAAAGTGGTGGAAATCCTTCTGAACAATGTGAGTCTCCAGAGTTTTAAACTCAAGGGTACTGAACAATAAAATTAAGAATCCATCTATTTGCTTTGGAAGTTATGCTACTTTTCAGAAAGCAGACTTGGACACCAGACGGCATGGTAGTATTCCCCCTCATGCAGAAAGTGCAGACAAGCCAAGGAGAAGATATCTGGGGGGAAACAGGTCATTAGTGAGGCTGACAACCTTCTGCTCTGCAGCAGTCTGTCAAAAGTATCCGTAATTTGGGCACAGAAGCCTCCAAACGAAGGGGTGGCCTTTCTTAGGCTTAATTGCGAAACAAATCAAATGCGCAGGAACTTCCGCAGTTACTTGACAGCGCATGGATGGTTGTCAGGCTGCTACATTAGGAGCATACATCCCACTAATGCATCGCAGAGTATCATGTGCCACAGAAGTACTACGAAAACCATTTATTTTTGTTTTCCATGCTCATCTATAAAGAAACTAATTGATTCCTATTAACGTTCAATTCCTCCACCAGCGTGGATAACAAAACAAAGCTTCTGAATCTTGCCCTGTGGCCAGAATTCAAAGAGTCGTGCAAACAGATCAAAAGAGTGGGCGCGTGTTGTAAAAGAGGGGATTTGGAAAAGCAGCGAGGTCTAGGCACCACCTGCTGAAGCGCAGGGGAGTCAAACAACCCACTATGCAATTATGGCAAATTGAGCAAAACACCCCGCCCTTTTCCAGCTCTATAATTGGATTAGAACTCCGTCGATCCTTCTATATAGGTCAGTGGGCTTGTCAATCTGACCGAAAGACATCCGTTCCGTAAGAGAAGCCTGAGGCATCAGTGTCACGGGATGAGACGAATCCTTCGGATCCTAAGTGGTTAACTTTCCTGTTAACCACTGGGCTGGCCCCGCCTCCTGCCATTGGCCTTCTTACCCTCGTGCGCATGCCCATCGTTTCGCGGACACACTGGTTGGTTTCTCCTACCTCCCCCCCGTTAAGTTACACCTCCTCTATAGCTTCACGGAGCGTCTGGAGATCCTCTGAATGGCTAATATGGCTGTCGCTCAAGCTGAAGCTTCTAATGAATCTACTGAAGTAGATTTGACTGCGGTGGGTGGTGGGTGGGAGGGTTTTTCCTCATGTTCTTATTGGACGCATGGCCTTGCCACTCAGAATGTGGCATCGCCTTCTTCCCGTATGAGCCTCGCCGCGTGCGCTTTCTGAGCGGTCGCAGACCTTGTCAATTAGAGTTGGAGGCGGGGCATAGTCGGGTCGCGAGACCGGCTGGTTCATACTTCCTCTTCTGCTTTTCTCTGGAACGCGGCGAAGGGAGCAGCAGTGATGGGGGTCCCGTTGGCTCTTTGGCTGGTGTCAGCCCTTGTGGCAGGTGAGGCTCTGGGCGGCTCTGCATGGGGGGGGGAGGCTGGGAGGAGGGGGGAGGGAGAAAGGGGGTGCCCGGGGCGGGGTCCGATGCAGGCCGGATCTGAAGGATGGTCTCTGCGCCAGAGATAAGGGCACCTGCGTGTTGGGGGTCGTCGTGGCAGAATAGACTGTCAGAGGGAGAATGAGGGTTGGGTCGTGTTCGTGGAACTGTAGTGGCTGTGGGTTTATTATCATCATCATCATCATCATCATCATCAAACGCTTATAAAATGCTCGACATTTCCTGCTGTAGTTCTGTTAAAGATAAAGACAGCCCCTGCTCACTGGCTCACAGTCTCGTAGACATTGTACAAAAGGTGGAGGTGGGAAATGAGGAGGAAAGAGGAAAGCAAGCATTTTTTTGGAGCAGCATCCTTACTGGCTAGTGGGAGGCCCACAAGGCCTCCCTTTATTTTTTTATTGATTACATTTATATCCCACCATTCCTCCACCATTTTTTATTGATTACATTTGTATCCCACCATTCCTCCAAGGAGCTCAAGGTGGTGTGCATGATTTCCCTCCCCACACTTTTGTCCTCAGAACAACCCTGTGAGGTAGTTTAGGCTGAGAGGCAATGACTGGCCCAAGGTCACCTAGTGAGCTTTCATAGCTGAGTAGGGTTTTGAACCCTGGCCTCCTAGGTCCAGCTCTCTTAACATTCAGAAGGGGTATTTTTCTTATGGACCTTTGCTTTTTATGTTTTGTGCCTACCTGTGCAATCAAAATCTTACTCCCTATAGCTTATCCAGTACACCAGACCCTCCAAGTGTCCCTGTTTTCCAGAAGCCATCCCGGTTTCTGATTCTTCATATCTTTCCCCACTCAATTCCTCCACCCAAACTGGCAGTTTGTCTGTTGATTCTCATTTTTTAAATGCCTGGAGGTCATTATGCTCATCTGTTTTGTATATAGTTTGGTCTCTGTATAAAAAAGGAAAGGGGACAGAATGAAACCCTTGGCAGCTCCCTTTATACATGATGATGATGATAATAATAATAATAATAATAATAAAATATTGTGTTTATACCCTGCTCATCTTGTCTGAGCAGCTTCCAACACATATAAAAACATCAAACAGTAATAGTAATCTGATCCAATATAAAAAGTTGCAGTAACTTTAAAATAGACAACTCATTTCAAACAAAGCAAGTAACATTCAGCAATCCATCAAAATCCAGTAAACAGTCAAATTAAACATCAGCAAATAATAATTAAACAGTTTACACTTATCAACCACAATAAAGAATTACCAATCTATAATCAATAAAAAATAACAGCAAATCGCAATGCATAAAATACCACAAAACATACCAAACCGTGTAAAAGGATCAAACTGAGAAAGACTCTTGTTGTTACTACAGTTAGTCTTTGTAGTTCTGCTTGTGTTTAATGTGGGGCATTTTAGTATGTGTATATTCAGAGGCATTTGTGCTGTTAGTTCCAGTCTTGGCTAGCTTGAGGAAGTCCAGTTTCTTTGCCTAGTTTAAGACATGGCTGACATCTTGTGATCTGATACTCAATTGTTTGTCTTGTTGGGACAAGCCAAGGATCTTTGGTCAGTTTATTCCTGTACTTTCAGCATCAGCCTGGTTATTTCTTCCACAACTTCCAGCTGCTGTTGGTTTTGTCGGAATTCAATGTCACTTTAGACTAGCCGCCTTGTCTGGGGAAGGAATGTCAAGACTAAAAGGCATGTGAGGGAAGTCTTCCTACTCCATGGTCAGCTGATATGTTGCTAGCCAGTAGCGGCTTTAAGTACTTGCTGCTTGAACTAAAATTGATCCTAATGATGTAGTAGAAAGCAGGGCCATTTACCTGTTTTCCCCTAGTAAATACCTTAGATGGTTTGTCTCAAGTTTAGTGGCTGGGAAATCTGAATTAATTATTTTCCATTGACTATTCGGGTGTAATTATCTTGTAGTGGGAGGTGCTGATATGAGTGTATTGTAGCAAGTCCATGTTTCTGGATTCTGCCCATATAGGTTTTTGGCAAAGTATTAAGAGCCATCCAAAATTTTGACACTTGTTGTCATAAGAAAAAATATTAGGCTGCAGTCCTAAGTCCCCACCCCACACTGGTGCTTTACGGAGCAGTGGGGCTACTGCTGCATTCACAGGCCTGTCATGCACAGGAGCCAGGGCAGAAAGTAGGAGACAAGCAGACTGCTATGCCACTTTGGAGGTGGCACAGCCATCAGGCCTGGATTGGGCCCAGTGCTGTCACGTAATGGCAGTGGGTCCAGCTTTGGGTACAAGGAATTGATAGGAACTGAGTTCAACATCTGAAGGACCACAGGTTTCCCATCCCTGGGCTACCACCTTCTCCTATCCTCAATCCTTCGTCACAAAAAAATACAAATTGAGCAAAACCTTACATATAGGGTTGAGTGTAATGCTTTAAAGCAGAGGGGTTTTGAGTCCTTGGCTCCCTTGATCAACTACATTCTTTCTGCGACACCCCTGTGGGACTCAGGAGCCCAGTTATATCACCCCTTGCCTGCAGAGCTGGCAGCTTCTCACCCTTTTTCCAACACTCCCTTGTGGAGTGTTCCCTCAGACTCCTCTCCCATCTCTTTGGGAGTGCTCTGGGCGGCCGCATCTGCTGCCCCTGGTCTCTGAGCTGCCCCACCCCAAAGAGAGGTGCCTCCTCACACTGCCCCACAGGGGCCTGGAAAGCACCCCCTGGCCAGTCCCAGAGGCACCATTCGCCTGGGGAGCTTGTAGCCAGGGCTGCTGCAACAAACAGCTGTGCAAGCCTTTGGGAGGCAGAGACGCAAGAGGGCATCAGAGGAAGGGAGGGAAGGAAAGTGAGATAGAGGCCAGTGTTGCCCGCAGCACCCCTGACTATCATTCAAGGCACCCCAGGGTGCCAAAGCACACTGGTTAAAAAACACTGCTTTAAAGGAACAACTCACAAAATTTATGCTAATTAGCTGCATTTCTTTGGAATATATATATAGGAGTATAACTATTACACATACATGGCAACGTGATAATATGTGTCTAAATGTCGGAAAACTCCAGGATTTATATCCCCCCCCCCCCAATTGACAGGCCATGGCTGGAATGAAATAGTTGCAGCTCTCAAATGTGTAGGTTCTAATTTTCACTGTAAATCAACTGTTGTGTGTGTTAATCCTGTGTGCAAGATTGGAACAAGGGAGTTAAAAGTACAGTGGCACCTTCTTCTTAAATAAATAAATAATTAGCTGCATTTCTTTGGAATATTAAATAAAAGTGCTTGTAATGATTTTCAAGTAAAAGCAAATGAGCAGTGTTAGAAACTGAGATATGAAAGCTAGGAGCTAAATGGCACCTTAAATCTAGGTTATGGGCACAACAACGGAATGTCTAGGCCCATTTCTGAATCGTGAGTTATCTGCGAATGATTATATTTTCTCTGATTTATACACGCAATAATTTTTTTTAAAAAACCTAGTATTGAACTCCTTTGCCCTATATTTAAATGACCTGATGGGTATATAATATTTACAGATACAGTGCTGTTGTTGGAAGCTAGTGTTATGAAATGACACATGTTTACTGTCAATACCACCTGTATTTTTGTTAAAAGTTGAATGTGGTTTAGACCTAACTCCAAGGTTGATGTGGTCAGAATAAAGGAAGTAACATATTGTAGCTGAAGCGTTATATCTGTTGGAGGCTTTTGTGTGGTCTCAGTTTTTCTGCTTCCTTTTGTGGAACCTCATTCTGCCTCTGGAACATGTAGGATTAGGATAAGCAACTGGAAGCTTTCAGCCAAATCTTGCTTTCTGAGAGGTGCAACTTAACCCTGTAGTTGGCTAACATGGAGGCTAACATGATGCAGACAAATATAGAAAGCTGCCTTACACTTGGTCCATCCAGCCCAGTATTGTCTACCCCAGGTGGCAGAAGCACTCTGGATCTTTTGCAGACCCAGTACCTGAGATCTTTTTCACTGGAGGTGTCAGGGGATTGGTGAAGAAAACATCTGTATTCAAAGATGAGCTCTACCATTGAGCTATCCACCCTCTCCTAAAGTGGCATTTGTAGCCATAGATTTTGAGTAACGATTGAGCTGCTAACCCATTACCCCCTCACTTCTCAGGGTAACTCTCCAGAAAAGGAAACAGCTGAGTAGGGATGTAGGCTATGACATTAGCGATCCTGTGATGGAAAGTGGGGACAGCATTTCCTTTGACTCAACCCCCCCCCCAAGTATGTGTATCAGTTGCATTTAGTGATTGTACCAAGGCTTCCCTGCAGCCCCTATTGGGTACCGCATGTAGGGGTATCCTTATTCCTTACCTTTGTAAGAAATAGCCTGGGGAACAAGACTTCTGTTTATGATAATTAGATACATAGCCACACCTGCATATTTAGTATGTTTCCGTGCACTCTGGTTTCTGTCATGGTGATCCGTTCTGCCAGAAGCAGTTTAGTCCTGCTGGCCACATGACCCGGAAAGCTGTCTGTGGACAAACACTGGCTCCTTCGGCCTGAAAGTGAGATGAGTGCCGCAACCCCATGGTCGCCTTTGACTGGACTTATCCATCCAGGGGTCCTTTACCTTTACCTTTTACATTATTTAGTACACCATATTGGCTGTTTCCTACTATCACAATATTTTCTTCAGGAGTGTCCAATAGTTTAGTAGAGAAATAAACTGAAAAACATTAGCTGTAGTTCGAAAAGGATTTACTGTAATCAAAGGCTCTGTGTTGTAGGAATTGGAATGACATGGTAGAATGAAGTTCATGTGAAGGATCCCACTTTCAGTGCTCCTCTCAAACACAAAAAGAATTTCCTGTGCGATATAAAATAAGCACAGCTGGGCAAGGACATGGGCTGGCATATTTTCCCCGTGAATGGTCTTTCTATTTGCAAACAGTTTTATTTTACCTGGGGGCAAGCATTCAACAGTAGTAGCTGACACCTGTAGTTTAAAGTGGTGTGGCCCATTCTCCCGCCTCATTCTGCTTGTGTGCTCAGGCAAAGGCTTTCCAGAAAAGCTGAGATGCTGTTTAAGGATGTGGGTTTTTTTACCAGCTCTGCCTTCCTTTTTCAGGTATTTCTGCCAATGAGTTCAGTGTATTAAGATATCCTGAATCCATTGTTTTCCGTGAAGGAAGTTGGCCAATACCCGGCGAGCGAATTCCAGATGTGGCAGCGCTTTCCATGGGCTTCTCTATTGAGGAAGTATGCAACTCACCATTTCTCTGTTCAGCCACATTGTTCATTCCTTTGAAAATTGTTGAAACAGGCCTAGCCTGTGCAGTCCCTTCTGTTTCTCAGCACTCTTTAGGAATCAGGGGCAAGAGCATAATCTAGCTTTCTGTAGGCTTTGCTTTATATTGGGCCTATATAGCAAAACCAGGCAATGGTGGCTACTTACCCATTATTTCAATAATACACATGTGGCTTTTCATATATAAATATCCCAAGTAGCATAAACCCTTCATGCCTTAATGACTGCCTCCTTCCCTACACCCCATATTGATTGGGAATAACTTTTCATGTGACCCTAACTCTGCTTTTCTTGCTTTGTTGTTGCTGCTGCTGTTGTATTTTTTAAAAGCTAAAACATTCCTTTAAAAAAAAATAATCTGAATTATTATAGGATCTCTCTTGGCCGGGGCTAGCAGTTGGAGATCTCTTCCGGCGTCCTCGAGCTACAGTTCTAGTCACAGTGACAGGGATAGACAAACTAATGTTGCCTAAAAACAGCATATCTTACCCAGTTGAGAATGTAAGTACTGTCATGTGTAGCTTCAAATGCTTATTCTGGTAGACCTATAGACCTGACTATATTTGGAGGGGAGAGGGTCCTTGTTAACAAACTCCTGCTTTTCCAGTGTCTTGTTCTGTGTACATTTCTGCTGGGGTTAGTTACCCTTCTTGCAATTTTCCATATGCCGCAGCCAGACATTGCTTTCTAATCCTTTCTGTATTGCCCTAGGCGGTTCCTTTTAGCTTGGATGGTGTTGCGAATGCAATTCACACCTTATTTTCTGAAGAAACCCCTGTCGTGGTACAGCTAGCTCCTAGCGAAGAGGTATGTGCCTGTCTCTTTCTGAAAGCCCCTGAAATTAATTAATAATGCCCTACTCATGCTTCCAAGTATAACCTTGTGTAAAAACTTTTCATTTTGGGAAAACAGTTGTGTTGAAGAAACGTCCTTTTCTCAGGTGAATGTTGTTTTACCCTCATAATGCACGATGGTCGTTCTTTCAGAGAGTGTACATGGTGGGAAAGGCCAACTCTGTATTTGAGGATCTTTCTGTCACACTGCGGCAGCTTCGGAACAGATTGTTCCAGGAAAATTCCATCCTAGCTTCCCTTCCGCTCAACTCACTGAGCAGAAACAATGAGGTAAGGCATGGCTAGACATTAGACACAACTTTTTCCATTTTATATTATGCCACTCTTTCAAATTTAAGGTACACAACCTAGTTTTCCAGGGGGATGCAGAGGGATGGTGGTGGTGCATATGTTTCAGTTATTTGCTTAATACAACTTTAAGCACATATATGTACAGTCGTACCTTGGAAGTTGAACGGAATCCATTCCGGAAGTCCGTTTGACTTCCAAAATGTTCAGAAACCAAAGCTCCTTCAGCTAATCGGAAGCAGCACCGGGCGTTCGGCTTCCAAAAATCGTTCGAAAACTGGAACATTCACTTCCGGGTTTCAATTGTTCAGGAGTCGATTTCTCTGGGAGCCAAAGTGTTTGAGATCCAAGGTATCACTGTACTCTGTCCAGCTGCATGATGACCTTTCCACTGACATCAGTCTGCATCTCCTCCCACAGTTCTGAAGCCCCCAAGCCCTTTGGATTAGATTTGGGATGGGGTACAAAGTACTAATGCACAAGTCTGCAGTCCTATCTGTGTGCTCCACACTGATTTTTGAGCCTTGTCTGAGCATGGCTGAGGTTAATTTGTCACGCTTGTACATTTAGTGCCTAAATAAATATAATAAACAGTAATAATCAGTAAGCAGAAATATGCAAGTGACCCTGACTTCTGCCATCCCTGCTAATAGTGTAACTTCTGAATTAGATGCAACATATTCAGATCCTGTTCCAAGAAACTTAAGATTATTGTTTCCCTAGGTTGACCTGCTCTTCCTGTCAGAATTGCAAGTTTTGCATGATATCACAAGCTTGGTAAGCAACTAAACAAATACTTATTTCTGCTATGGGGTTGGCAGCTGTTGATCTGTTATCAGAAGTTAGGCAAATAATCTTCCGTTTTGCCCCAGCCACAGTGGGAGCTGCCACCATATAACTTTCCCAGTTGTGGGCTCTTCAGCTGGCTGAGGAATTCTTAAACTGAGAAGAAATGTATGCAGTTGCAGAGGAAGCAGTCCTTCCCAACAAATTAGCAGAATAGAAGAGAGATCTCGGTCAGGGTTCCTTGTCTGTGGGGATACACTATTGCTAGCACATAGATCTGGTCCTTAAAAGATTGCACTAGCTGCCCATTTCCTACTGGTAAAGTTCAAGCGTTCTTGTATTAACTTACAAGGCGTATGACAACTTGGGGCCAGGGTACTTTCTGTTTTTGCCCATTCACAGAGGTCTTTAGAGGAGTCACTGTTAGTATTCCCCGCATGGTTTGAACACAGGTCTTGCATCCACTCGGAGCAATGCATTAGTAATGTTGGCCCACTGCTGTGGAACTCCTTCCTTAGCTGAGGCAGGCCCCTTCCCTGTTCAGCTGGGAAGGGTGTTGCAAGCTGCTGCACCCCTTGTTTTTAGAAGCCTTGCGAGTTGATGCAGGAGACGGGCTGTGAGCAACATCAAGGGGAGAGTGTTACTAGGACCAAATTGCAACTGTTAAGCTCCCTTGTTATTTTTGCTGCTGCCATGAGGTGTACTTTTGCTACTGTAATTAGTTATATTTATGGTCCTGAAATGTTGTTTTCTGTATATTATATATGATATTGTGTTTTTTATTTTCTTATTATGAAATTGTTTAAGCAGTGTTTGATTTTGAAATGCATTCCTGTTTTCTGTTGTACGCTTTGAGCATCATTTATGTGTGTGCAAAAGCGACATGCCAGTCAGATAATGCAGTGCCTCGTGAAGATCTTTATATTTCAGCAGGCATTTTAAGCATGTTTTCTGATTTTATGGTTAGCGTTAACTAACTTTTTATGTATTGCAACTTTTTAGCTTTACAGTACATGCTTGGAAAGTATGGTATTAAGTGATATATAAATTGTGAAGATAAATAAAGTAGGGCGGCATAAACATGCAACCATTTAAAATGGAAAATACCCACTTTTCACTGGCATTCTTTTTTTATGTCCCCACCCTTCACTTCTTCAAAAGCTATCCAGGCACAAACATCTGGCCAAAGATCATTCACCAGATCTATATTCTCTAGAGCTCTCTGGGTTGGAAGAAATTGGCAAACGTTATGGGGAAGATTCACAACAATTCAAGGATGCCTCTCAGATTCTTGCAGACTCCTTACAAAAGGTAACATGAGAAGAGACCCTATTTTATATACCGTATTTAATGCCAAATATGCTAGCATAAGCCTAAAGAACACCTGCTTTTATCTGCAAACTAGCACAGTGCTTCTGCTTTGAATAAAATGTTATGCAGTACATCACTGCTGACCCTTATTTGATTTTTTTTAAATGAAAGTTTCCTGGATGAATGGACAGTTGATGGCCAGATCAAAATCTGTAGCCCTGGTCAGTCTTAAGCATTTGGAAGTGACTATAAGAGAAATAAGTGGTACTGGAAAATTAGGTTAACTGTTGACAGAGCAATCTGTTGAAGGGATTCCTTGCAAATTAGCAAAGGTAGGCATCAAGTGTTACATCAGGTTATTATAAGCTTTTCATTCCTCTTCTGAGTAGCTGGCCCACACCATAACATAGAAATACCAAGAGCCATTCCAGAAATTTGGCAAGAAATAATGCTAAAACATTCACTAGAGAGTACCTTGAAACGAGCAATTTTGAAAATGGAACTAGAACTGTTATCCAGAGAAACGCTTTAGGAATGCTCCTATTGGAAGCATATTCAGCCTACCAGAAAAATACCACTGAAATGTTCCAAAATCAGATATTCAAGTGATGCCAGAAGCTTTTATGTACCCACATGCAAAAGTTACTATCCAGTCCTCCAGTTGAATTGAAAAGAAATCCATTGGCCATGGGTACAGCATCTTTTTAAGTCTTGATAGGCAGTGCCTGAATATTTCCAGTAATAATTATTGGATACTTGCCAGTAAATAGTTTCAGGATAGCAGTTTTGGCCTTGTAGTTTAATATAATTAATGATAAATTTCTGGTAGTAGACCATTCTACTTTAAGTCACTAAGTTAAATCTAGAAGCAACCTAAGAGGTGTCTACACTTCTTACTATTCGGTGGCTATTAAAATGGTACCCCTCCTGTCTCATGAACTGTGCATCTAACTCTGATGGTGACTTGTGTCTTAAAACATGTTTTCAGTTTGCAGACGAGATGTACAACCTCTATGGTGGGAATGCAGTGGTTGAGGTAGTGACCGTGAATACATTTGACACGCCCTTTGTGAGGAAGTCACGATCCATTCTGCAGTCTACACAGGTTGTACAAACGCTTAATAGATTCCTAAGAGAATGCAGTAGCTCAGTCCTGAATAGTTTCTTGGTAATCTCATAAATTTCACTGGAGTGCCTAAGCAAATCACTTAGAATGCAGCCTATCAGTTATAAGCTGCCTGCACTATGCCTTTTTCTCTGTTATCTCTACTGTACAGTACATAATTCTGAGAACAAAACTGTAGTCATTTTAAAGACATTTGAGAATGTCTCGGCCTTAAGCTAATATAAAGACTGAGCAACTTTCCCAAGAGACTACCGTATCACTTTTATAGCATAATGCTGCACAACTGTGGACATGGTAGGTTTTATACTATTGTAAATGGACATGACTTGCTTGCTTTTCTGAAGTGGCCTTCAGAATGTGAAAAACATGAGCTGGCTGTCTACACCTATACCTGTGTTTGTCAAACTCATTCCTAGCTAGCAGGCTCAGTAGTCAGGGATGATGGGAGTTGCTGTCCAACAACAGCTGGAGACCCAAGTATGAGAAACAGTGATCTAAACTTTGAGAGAGAGAAATTAGGTGAAATACTTTAGGGCCAGTTTTGACTCTGAAATGTTGCCATTGTATTTCCAAATTACTCACATGCCTTCTATTTTAAAGACAGCCACAAGCCTGAGAATACTAGTGAATCATGTACTGTATAAACTTCCAGAGCTGTTATGTTGTCCATTGTTAAGTGGAAGAGGCAAGTGTCCCTGGTCCACTGGCAAGGACTCTCAGAAGCCTCCTACAGACTTCTTCAAACTGCAGTTAAAAAGCAGTTTATCTGGCTTGTTTCTTCCTTTTGTGATACCTCAGTACAAATGTGAAGTCCCTGTCTCCTAGTAGTGAGAAAAATGGAAGCTGGTAATATTTATGGGCAGCTGGTGGTGAAAACACAGGTGCTCGATTGGTTATTTGCAAGTGACTCCATACAATAGAAACTGCTTTGTCTTTCAACGATTTATCCAAAATATTCCCCGTGTTTCTTTCAGGCAGGTGTAATCAGTATGGTGTTGGATTACCACTCCTCTTTTATTTTTTAACAAAACTTTTTGTCTCTTTTCATAGCCCAAAGATGAAAATCCATATAATTTAGGATATGAATACAACTTTAACTATGCTGTGGTCTTCAACATAGTCTTCTGGATGATGATAGCCCTTACCATAGCTGTGATAGTCATCTCCTACAACCTCTGGAATATGGATCCAGGCTACGACAGCATCATTTATAGAATGACAAACCAGAAGATTAGGATGGATTAAGGTTTAGAGTCAGGTTTTAAAGGCGTAAGGCTTTTCCAGGGCTTTGGCCCGGTTCAGTATGGACTCTCTTGGTTTTCTTCAGCGGTGCAATGTGGAGTATCCCCTTGTGTTTTCCTTTAGGATATATTTAAAAGGCTAGCAGTGGGCATAGTCAGCTTGCAGAGCTGAAGCTGTACACTGCTGTTAAATCATGAGTAATTGCCTATTGACACTATGTGAAAATGATTCCATTTTGTGGCTGTGCAATATGCATTGAGTTCTAAATATGCTCCTCTGTACTGTTGTGACTAAATGTGTGAAATGACTGCACTGAACATATGCTAGTAAGTTGCTTTGTTTAAATTCTTTGCACTGGTGATTTAGGATGTTACCTTGAGACTCTGCTGTAGATTATGAATTAAATATGTTGTGAATGTAAATACTTTAAATTGCCGTCTTTAGAGATCTACAGTGGAACTTCTATTCTGCAGCTCCTGCTTTGTGTGTACACACTTATAAGGCACCCTACAAATTTTGTTCAGATTGAACATTTGTTTAAAAATGTACAGGAGTTTGAACAAGGAAGAAAATACATGTGACTATAACAGAAAACATTAGAATTTGCAGGATCTTGTAATTAAATGTCATGGATTGTGTCAGAGGTTGAAAACAAGGGTTGGTTTAGTGCAACTGCAATGACTGCAAATATGTAAATACAGCCTATTCTTATTCATATTGGGAACAAAAACAATACAGCAGCTCAACACATAATGGTAGAAATGTAAGCAATATACAAACAATAAAGCAATGCTGCCATTCACTAACTACTAGATGAATATAAAAACTGCACACTGCCACCCTTCTTCCTAACCCCCCATCCAAAAAAAAGCGTTCACATTGGCCTGGTGCTTTTTATCCCTCTTAACCTCCTGAGTTAACCACCAGTGCAAGACAGAGTGGAGAGGTGTGATTTTGTGGTGGGGGCCAACCTACTGGCTGTAAATCAGTGGGGAGGGGGTCCAGGATCTTCTGGGTTGGTTCTCCTTTCAAGGAGAGCAGCTTTAAATTGATTTATTACAGTCACAGACCAGAAATACAGACATATACAGCAATAGAGAACATGTAAATATAAATAAATTTAAACTCTATAAGCTGGAACACGATAAATAATACAGATATAAAACAATTGAAATATGTAGGCTAAAACCTTAACTGCCATTTTAAAATACGTGTGTTAAAGACATTGGCCATTAAATTCATTCAGAGCTTGTCTCTTTAATTTTATAGCAGCAGCAGCAGCAGCAGCAGCAGCAGCACAGAATTTAGCCACTTTCCTCTATTAGATATTTGAAGTAGTGCTCATCAGATCTGCTTGGGATTCGCTGCATGATTGGAGTGATAAATATAGAACATATGTCCCTATAATAATGACAGTATTGTAGGACATGAGTAACAGCTTCAACTTCCTTCAAACCACATCGGCATATTCTCTCTGAATGTTTTACCTTCAAATCAGCCTGCAGTAATGCAGATGGTAGGACATTGAGCCTGGCAAGGGTAAACGGTCATCTAAATTTGGGTTTTTCTAGCTTGGATAAATACCTCGCTGGAGTAAACCCCCTCCCATTACCTTTAATTTCTGGATACGTGGCCATTTCATGCACATGGCATTGCAAATCAGCATCCAAGATTCATTGCTTAATTGTGGATTTGGTTTTCTCATATCCACAGGGCATAGCTGTCAACATTTCCCTTTTTTTAAGGGAAATTCCCATATTCCGAATAGGATTCCTCGCAAGAAAAGGGAAAAGTTGACAGCTATGCCACAGGGTATCAGAGCCTGAGGTGTGAACCCTTGGCTTCTCAGTTTCTCTTGCAGTGAAGATTTCCATTTTGTTTGGCATGTAACTATTAAAGTTAAGAGTGCCAGACCTACCAGGAAGAAAATCAGTTTTAACCAATAATGGATCTTCAAAATTAATATCTGGGACCTAACTGGAATTTGCCCAACCTCCAGGTGAACTGCTACGTTGGGCACACAGGATGAAATCCCCAGCAAAGAGCAATAAAATTTAGTTTGTAAAATTTCAAAAGGAGCAGTGTTTTTATAATTGCACACCTGGGAGCCATATATCAGTTGTGAAACAAATACCTGGGTGGCAGCAGGAAGGGGAGAGCAAAGCAAAATCTGAGCAAAAAGGTGGTCAAGGTTGTCCTAGCTGCTACACAGCTCTTATGCTGCTGCTAGCAATGCTTTTTTTTTTTTTTAAGGGCATCAACAGAGTACACCATTCATTAGCACAAATAAGAAAAACATATAATTAATATAAATAAGAAGAATGTAACATATTTTTTAAAGCGACAAAAAATTGTCATGCACAAAAACACCAGATACACGAGATCTAGGTGGTCTCTCTCTCGAGCATGTTTTGCCACCTCGGTGTGGTGGAGAGTTCTGCACTATAGGACAGTTGTGTTTGAAGTAGCATGGCTTGCTGTTGAAGATTTCTTCCAACTGAGGACTTTTCACAATCTCAAATGCTACACTAGTGTCAAGTAGTGTTTATTATGGGTGTATGGCTGTTGGTATTAGTAGATTTCTTCTCCATGCTTCTCCAACTTGCTGAGCAAGCTTTTGCTCAAGCTGTGTTCTCTTCTTCCATCTGCTCCCAAGCCTGCAGCGCCTTGCGAAGGTGACCTTTACACTTCTGACTCTTTTTTCCCAACTGCTGTTTCCCCCCTCCTCCAGTTTTGTTTCCTTTGTTGTTCAGCCTCTTCTTCCTTCCTTCGCTTCACCTTTTCCAGCTGTAGAGCTCTACAAATGACCTTCTTTTTTTGGTGATTAGCTTCAAGTTCTTTCAACTTCTTCTTAACTTTGTCCTCTACCAGTTTTTTCTCAAGCACCTTGTCAGCGGGGCACTGAGAAGATACAGCCCTTTTCCTTTTGCGATGAGAAGTCATCTTCTGAGTGCTGTCGATCTTGCTTATAAATGCTTTTTCATTGCCCGGCTTTATCCTTTTCCCCAGTGATTCTTCTGCACTTGTATTTTTGGCATCAACTGGGTTCACTATCAGAGCTGCTCTTAAAAATATTGATGGCTTCTTCAAGAATTTCAGTCACAAAAAGTCTGTGTTGGTCACATCTTGCAACAGGTTTCTTCATGGCAGCTTCTTCCAGTCTCTGTCAGGGCAGAGTCTTCAACATGTACACTGAAATGTGTTAAGTAGCCTGTGTCTTCCAACCCAATTGAGGTTAAACATGATAGGTGTGTGTTCCCAGATTACATTAACTAGCTGCTTGAATTCCATTTTTAGAGGTGAAATTATATGTACAATTGCAAAAACGATATATGAAGAATACTTTACTTCCAGTTTTAGTGCAATCTTTCCATCTCTAGCAGTAGACATAAATGTTTTCTGCTTTAGAGTACTTATTCTTTATATACAAAGATTCTGTATGAAACTTTTACTTTCTAACTTAAGTGTCCTCCAGTCTAAAAAACCTGCTATAATGGTTACCAGGTGCATAAGCCACTTGATATAAGTTAAAAGATTGATCAGTCCTGTTGCAGATCAGCAGATCTATTACTAGATCAAGCATCTGTTTTTCAATCCTAAAACTAACAAATCAGTCCTAAAATGAAATCTAAAATTAAAACTACCTAGTAATGTAAAATGAAAACTGCACAGAGTTAGACATATCTAAATCCATTAGCATCCTTGTGCCCTTTATCAACTGTTAACTGATTCAAGTTTTCGTTCTATTCTGGAGCCTGTATTTATTAACTGGGCTCCAGTAATTCATAGTGTGGGACAACATAAGGCTTTTGACTCACAATCGGAGTAAGTTATCCACTGGAACCAATTGGACAAATTCATCACTATCAAACTATTCCATTCTTTTTTTACTGGCATTGAGTAGACCACTGGATTTTGTAGTTTATAGCTGTGATATATGCAAGAAGCCTTTTGAAAACGCAGGTGATTTTACCGAGACAGCTGAGAGAAGGCCATTTTTGTACCTAGTCCTACCTGAGATATCAAATAGGACATGATCCTAACAAATAATGCCATGTTATACAGTTGTATCAGTGTGGCAGTTCGTTGTTATGTATGTTGAAGCGACCAAACCTTGGATTTGGATGAATTTTTGAGAGTCTATCATCAGCCTTCTAAACCGCATCCCTCTAACAGATAATGAAACAGGTATTGAAGCACATTCTCTCCCCTAAATGGATCATGTGTGCATTAGAGGACAATGTTTTTCCTCCTAATTTATATGGAATAAATGTTTGTGCTTGTCAAGATTTGTGTTATTCTAATGGCTTATTACTTAAGCACCTGCTTTTTCTTCATACAGTGGTGCCTCGCAAGACGAAATTAATTCGTTCTGCAAGTTTTTTCGTCTTGCGAATTTTTCGTCTTGCGAAGCACAGTTTCCCAAAGTCTTCAAAATCACCAAAGTCTTCAAAAACCTCAAAAAAGGCTACCACACCGCGTGCTATGAGTTGCTCCTCGAAGTCACCTTGGGTATTAACGGTTTTAAGAAAAAGGAAACAAACTTGCAAGACGTTTTCGTTTTTCGTCTTGCGAAGCAAGCCCATAGGGAAATTCGTCTTACGAAGCAACTCAAAAAACGGAAAACTCTTTCGTCTTGCGAGTTTTTCGTCTTGTGATGCATTCGTCTTGCGAGGTACCACTGTATTACCGTTCTTCTGCCTTTATGTGCAGGCAGTTTCAGCGAGGGTACTCACTCCTGCTCTCCTGTTTAAGATACTAACTCATGCAAGTCCTATATTGGCCATTCAAATGTAATCCTAAATTTCTGAACAGAGCAAGACCCTACGCTAGCCCCTTTACACTTGAGAAAAGCCAGCAGTTACACCAGAGGCATTCAGCTTACCTGAATGCTTTTCTGAAATAACTCACGGTGGTTTTCGTGTTCCTGCACAGCTACTGATCCTCTGCCCAGGAATTTGGTTAATGCAAGTCCAAGACTCAAAATTTAAATTCTTTCGAGTTTACCAGGTTCAGTTGCTGTGAAAAGGGCCCCTTTACTGGATTTTTTCCTATCTTACAAGTAATTTCTTTCAGGTTTAGAGTATTTGACAAACATTAATTGTCAGGCTTGCTGCAACTACTCCCTAAGTTGGAGCTCCGTGTATTAATTCCCCCCCCCCCTACTTCACACTTAGGAAAGAGCACATTAAGACACAGTAGTAAATGATCATTGTTGCTGGACTATAATAACTTATTTAATGAATACAAAGAATCCTCACATGATTTTGCTCATGGTGAACTTGGAAGAATTTAAATTTTGAGTCTTGGACTTGCATTAATGTAGAATTTAACAGGGAAACATCATGGAGATGGAAAATAACTGTCATGTGAATGCAGCCACTATTTAGTTTCATGAGAAAAAGGCTGTGTTAAACAAAAGAGTGAGGAGGGGTCATGTCCTAATGGGGCTACGCACATTAAGATTGCATTTGGTGCAATGTAAAATAGAGAAATTACAAAATTGATAGTTCCATTTGTCAAGAGGAAGCAGTATGGTCAAAACATTTGCACAGGGGTGAAACAAATCAAACTGTCCTGGGTAGACAGCAAAATACTAAACCTCTGAAAGCAAGCCATAATACAGTTCAAAGGAAACTGGAATTTTTAAGGAAATGACTGTTGACCCTTCAGGTTTATTCTCCAAATTCCAATATAACTTGAAAAAAGGATTGCTCTTTAAATGAGCATTCCTGTGGAATTATGCAAGTTTCCTATTTGGTAACGCATGACATCTTCACAGTAGAGTCACATTCTTCATATCGTACGCTTCCTTTTTTCTAAATGACAATCTAAAAATTAAACAAAAGCACAGACAACATTACATATTTTGCATACTTAAGAATAGCACCTGGCCTTATTTACCAAAGGTCTGCCTCATGGCAATCCAAATAAAAGCAATCTCAAAGCTGCATATTCTGATTTCTGTAAGGCGGTATTCCTTCCTAAGGTTCTTTCCTAACACCTTACAATGTGTCAGTGAGTTTTGCTATGCGACTTGTTAGAGCGATAAAACACAAATTTCATTTTAAACATATGCACTTGCCTTCATATGTCTCCTCATCGTTCACTTCCTGGGTTTCTTTCATGGATTGTTTTTGGCAGTACAATTTTTGCACGAGGTCTTCTAGGTTCTGCATTTCAGCCTGCAAACTTCTTTGAAGATCATGGTTGCCATTTAAGAAATCCTTTACAATTTGTATTCTGTTTAAATCCTAAGAAGGGGAGAAATACCTTGTGAGTAAAAAATGTGAAATGAGAACAGGATGATGGACTAGATGAGCCTTTGCCAGGATCTTATTTTGTTCTTATTACCACCTCACCAAAAGCATCTCAGGCAAGTAAGTGTTCGATACTACCTAGAGAGTTTCATAGCAGAAGATGGATCTGAATTTCAGCTTATCACCGCCAACCCAATGCACACAAATTGCTACACCAACCCTGTTCTCTGGTTTGTCTGTGGCTTCTCTCTCTTTCCAATGCTTCTTGCAAGACCTGCAATTCCTAATTTAAAAAGGTTTCTATAAAGCAGTAGACAAATGTTTCTATTCTAAAAAAAGCCTTTTTACTATTTTACCTGCAGAACTTGCCACTTCATCTGAAGCTAGAAGTATATAATCTTTAAAGCTGAAATCAGGAAGCTAATATGGAAAAAAAAGCCACGAGTTACCCGACAGCAGAGCAATGAATGAAGTGAGCGATGTTAGGCATATCAGGGAAGCACAGGAAAATGCAGCATCGGACAAAAATTAATTGTGCCACAATTGTGGGCAGCAAGCCCTTTGCTGACTGTACTAAAGTGGCAGGTAAAGGGCAGGACAAGAAACCCATTCAGCTATAAGACTACATTCCATCCTATATTCATCACTATCAACCAACACAATACAAAGAAGGGAAAAAAGAACACTGCAATGTCTCTCGCAATACTAGAAGAGTTCATTAGTTCAGACACTGAGTGGTCTCCGGTTCTCGCCGTTAAAAAAATATATATCCAGTGAATACATGAATAACTTACTTGATTCCATTTATTTAATTACTATGCAAATAGATTTAAGCAGTTCACAAACTAAGAGGGGGATGGAATTTCCTTATATTCAGCATTTAATTCCCTAAACATTCTGTTGCATTTATTAATTATGTTTCCACAGACACACGCACACAAAATTCCCAAGGCAATACATGACAGAAACACTTCAGATACATATATTTTGAAGTGGGCTTCAAAAGCTTTTCAGTAGCTGCCTCCCAAGCATGTTGCAGGTTTAACTATATGCTGCTGCCTGCTCTTTTTTCTGGCAACAGGCTCCTCTGCCTTTACCTCAGGGGGAGGGGGCAAGGTAATTCTGAAGTAACCAACTGATAGTTGTTGAGGGAGCATGAGGCCACTTCAACCAGCAAGATCACGGGGAGCAGGTTGTTCTCTCATGAATGGCAAGATCATGCGTCTTAAGTAACTCTCTGTTGGCATTTGGAGGGAGTTACGTAATGTCAACTCTGTGATCAGTGCAAGATTCAAAGCCTTCACAGACTCAAAGTACTTGTGACCTTTACCACAAGGCCTCAAAACCTAGTTGATGGGCTCATACGTGCTATAAGTATAATTTACATTCATTGAACACAAAATAAAGAGACGCCAAATGTCAACTTTCAGGTCGCTACGTTCTTGCACAAGCTGGAATTGTTTGTATTGCAAACAGATGAGTAATTCCTTTTTTCACTGAAATACTAGGGGAGGATGGTTTTTAACAGATACGTGTTTCTCCATCATTGATCACCTACAACTAAGCAGACACAAGGAACTATAAAATGGAAGCTCCACCTGCTCTCCTCAATCTGTCCCTTTGAGTTTGCTAAATTTCCCCAGTCTTCCATAATCTGTGTATGGAGGAGTTACATCCAGGAGTAGAGGAAAAGCTGCTGTTCTACACCTGGATGGCTCACCTCACTGTAAGTAGCTATAACAGGATGGACACTTGATCTAAAAGCTGCTGCTTGTTATTTTCTTGAAGAAACAATCTGCCTCTTTCATTTCTCCTCTACCTTTCTTTTTGATTCTTAATAAACTTCGTAAAATTTGGCTGTTGACGTCTTGGGTACATTTCTGCCAGAGTCAAAAGGACTTCTCCTCTCTGAACCACTTTTGTGACAAGCTACATCAGGGACCTGAGAGGAAAAAGCAGGTTACCTTGGGCTCAGGGAAGAGCCTTGTAGGCTGGGTGCTCTTTCTGTCTGCCCTTCAAAAAACCTGCCCTGGACCCCCTCCTGTCTGAGGGGCAGAAGGTACAGTTACAGCTTCCTTGGGAACCTCTGTGCACAATTGGGCTACTCAGTGAAAGGACTTATCCCATTTCCGTTACAGGTGGCGCAATGGGTCAGTTCATCTGGTTATCAACCAAAAGGATGGTGGTTCAAGCCCACCCAGGGACAGCTGTGAGCAGGAGTCCTGCATTGCAGGGAGTAGGACTAGAGAACCCTCAGGTCCCTTCCAGTACTATGATTCTATTTCTGTCCCAGAGGTAACGTAGATCTAAGGTGGCTGAGCAGGTAGCTTCTTTCTCGGAGCAGAGACACATCTGCTAAAACTGAAGGAAAGAAGCTTCACAGAAAAAAAAGAGATCACTATTCTAAATTTCAACACTGAGTAGTAATTTCTATAGGACCTCTCCTCCATCAAAGCACTCAAGCCAGCTTATATGCGGATCCCTCGTGGCATCTAGGCACTGACTTGACCCAAAGCCACTTAGTGTGAGGCAAAATGTCTATATTTGTGTGTTATCAGTCCATGCCCTAGGGGTAGGTTTTAAGCACCCTGGCAAATGTATTCCAGTTGAATTTTAAAGCGAAGCAGTGTTTTCTATTAGGGTACAAATACAATGGAGGTGCTGGGAGCTCAACTGCATGGAACAAGCTTTCCTTGGGCAAGCAATAATCTATTCATCTGAAAAGGTTTATTCCAATAAATTCTGAGGAACCCTCTAAATGCACCCCTCTTATTACACAGATGGACCTATTAGCATCAAACTCTTAAGCATGAGTGCAAGCCTGCTTTTATGTTTTCAAATTAGGTTACCTCTTCTGACATCATTCCTTGTTCTTCCACGAGAAGACTGATTTCATGAAGTCTCTCTTTTATCAGTTCTGCTTCTATTTCACTGATCTGGCTTCGATTCATTTCACCCTCCAATCCATCAAGCTGATCTCCCCCTGGTACATGCACAGCCCAATCAGATGACAGAAGCTATTGGGTTTTAGTAAAAACAAAATGAACATGAAAAGCTATGGGTTTCTTGACAAAATAATACACTTAAGGGTTTCAATGACCCCAAAAGCACAAGATGCTGTTTGAGAAATACAGATGGAACTAGTTACACATTTCTTTGGATCCAGTCAATGTTGTTTGTGACATTAGAGATGAGCAACAGTATTTGACAATACTGAGGTATGCCAAGTACAGTGGCACCTCGGTTTTTGAACATCTCTGTTGATAAACATTTCAGTTTTCGAACACCATAAACCTGGAAGTAAATGCTTTGGTTTTCAAACATGCTTCCGCTGAGTGCAAGATCCTGAGGCCTAGCTGTCGGCTGTTGAGTTTTAGGCTTTCTAACATTTCAGAACTCGAATGGTCTTTCGGAATGGATTACGTTCGAAAACTGAGGTACCACTGTAGTTTGTGAAACTTACTGGCATTCTGTGGATTTAAAAACATTATTTGGAGGCTATACCTTCACTGCAAAAGAACACATTTAAACAATTCCCAGTGGAATCATATGCATGTCTACTCAGAAGTAAACTTCAATGGGACTTATTTCCAGATAGGTATGCATAGTAATGAACTTCTTTAAAAGAATTTTAAAAATGGTGGTTTGGCTATTCCTCTGCAGCAATGTCCCTGCCATTTACTAATTCTATTTTTAAATAATCTCTTTTTACTTAAATTCTTTTCTAAAACAAATGAACTGTTTTGAAACTATGGGAAGTTTCAGAAGCAGGTTATGTGATACAGCATAAAAGTCTGCTGAACAAAGATTTTTTTTTATTCCAGTAGTGGGCCCAAAATAGATTTTGTATCCTGGCTTTTGTGTTCTCCCACATAGGTACATTATTTAACCAGTTATTATTTTTTTAAAAATGCCACATAGCATAATGCCTGTTGCCTCCATGCAAGGCTATCTGCCTTGCAGAAGTTTTACCTTTCCATCTATATAACATGCAGATAAAATGCTGTACTATTGTTTTGTTTTGTTTCCCCCAAAAAAATAAACTTTTGATATGGTAAACTCAAGAGTAAAACTAAATTGTATCAATGTGCCCAAAAACCTTGAATCAACAAATTATGAAACAGCCTCAGATATCCTTGATCAAGCACAAAAGCTTTGATTTAGAGTGCAAACCATCTGGATACAGACTGTTGCATTTCTATATTCAATACTGTGCCTAGCTAAAATAAAAAAAGGTGAATAGCAGCCAGCCTACAAGTTGAAAGAATGGCAACTATTACCTTTTCTATCCTTGTACGAGCCGTCTGGGCCTCTGGAATGTGTTGAAATTCAGTTAGCAAGTTCTGAACATGATTCCCAAATTCTTTCAGCCAGGAAGAAGAGACTTTCATATCTGAAGAATGCATTAGTTCATTGCGGCACTTAATCACCTAGAGATAAAAACATGAAGCAAAACCAGTAGACTGAAAACTCAGTGTAGGGCAATGGTAAGCAAAAACCAACCCTCAAGTTACAGCCCTGCGTTAGGGGTTGCTGACTGAGTGATCTGTTTTCACATCAGAGCCACATATTGTTGTTACTAGAATGGAAATGCTCCGTGCGGCGAACACCTTGCCAATGTTATGTTCCTCAACTGTCTCCTCCTCAGAGGCTGCTATATGATAACCAGCCTTAAGCACTTTATTATATTGCATTTTATACTTGTAGGCATGCACAATTTAAGCTCCATCTGCACTATATGTTTAAAGCAGTCTCATAACACTTTAAACAGTTATGGCTTCCCTCAAATAATCTTAGGAACCGTAGTTCGTTAAGGGGGCTGAGAGCTGTTAGGAGGCTCCTACTCCCCTCACAAAGCTACAGTTTCCAGATTTCTTGGGAAGAGAAGAAGAAGAAGAGTTTGGATTTGATATCCCACTTTATCACTACCCGAAGGAGTCTCAAAGCGGCTAACATTCTCCTTTCCCTTCCTCCCCCACAACAAACACTCTGTGAGGCGAGTGGGGCTGAGAGACTTCAGAGAAGTGTGACTAGCCCAAGGTCACCCAGCAGCTGCATGTGGAGGAGCGGAGACGTGAACCCGGTTCACCAGATTACGAGTCTACCGCTCTTAACCACTACACCACACTGGCTCTCTGGGATTTATTGTTATACAACTCTGGGAACTGTAGCTCTGTGAGGCGGATAGAGGTCTCTGTAGACAGGAGAGGATGCTTGCCCAAATGGAAGAGGCAGTCACTGATTGCAACCTGGTGAGGGTGTTTGTGGAACCCTGCTAAGAAAAGATGTCAATAGCGGTAGTTGGATTACCTCTCTGACTTTCTTCTGATCGATGTTACTGAAGTGATCGCAGAAGTTGAAAAGGTTTAAGAGTGCAGATGCATCACATTTGTCTGGACCACAAATGTCTGCTTTCCCACGAGGCATGTAAGCCTACACAGCAAAGGAGAACGCATGCAGTTAATGTCTGATTCAGAAGCTATTAGTAACACACTATTTCTAACTGATAGTTATATCAGAACTCATGTTTATTTAATTGTAGCTTTGTCAAACACTAAAACAGTGGTTTAATTAGCATCTTGTTGCTGTCCTTTTTCTCTTTACAATCCCATTGGATACTCTCGCTGGAGTCCTGCATAGTCATTCCGTACTGTTCCACACCATACAGGAGGACACAATTTAGAACTTTTCTGATCAGCTACTGTTAGTCAGCCTTAGGCTGCCACTCCCTCTTGAATCCAAAACAAGTTCCACTTTCCATAATGAAGCACCAAACTTGTAGATAAGACTTTTAGGGTGAGATGTATTGCCTTGCAAAGCTCATCAACATGCTTTTCATCACATGTTGATTGTACTGATGTCTATTTCACAGCATGTCTACATCTTGGGAGCCACAACGAGGCACAGTTTCCCAGAGCACACACCTACACTGTGGGAAGCCACAGTGAAACAGATACATGTATGATCACCACACATCAGTTTTCATGGGCTTTCTGTCTTTCCTTGGGAGAATGGGAGGAAATGGAGGCACTATTTTCTCTAACAGGGCCCAGCAACACTAATACGGACATAAAATTAAACAGATTTGTTTGCCAACCACAGTCCACAGCTTCATGTGTTGAATATCTGCCTGCTGTGCTTTTGTCAAAATCACATAACTTCTGCTGAGAAAGAGAGATGCAACTTCTATATGATAAAATGCTATTATGAGTTTGTTTGGTCTTACTAACTGAATACAAACTTACAAATGCTGCTTTGGCGAATTCTCAGACTGTTCAAATCCAGAAATAAAGAAGGAATAGAAACCTGAATAAACTCATAGAAGACAAAAGGTGGCAGTAACAAAAGAGGGTAGCAATTGGTTGCCTAGAATTCAGAGCAGCACGAGCTGCTTCTTGCTCCTGAAGCAGTTTCAAAACTAGCCATATCATACACAGGGCCTTGCAGATATTGCTGGACAACTCCCATCACCCTGACCACTCGCCACGCTGTCTGCAGCCTATGGGAACTTGTAGTCCAACAATACCTGAAGTGCCACAGCTTCTCTATCCCCGATTTATATCCTCCCCTGCTGCATGCTGCAAAAGCTGGAGCAGAACATCCATTTTACATACAGGGGTGTAGGGGGTGGGTGGGTCACCCCAGGTTCCATCGTAGAGGGGGGTGACAAATTATCAAGGAACAATTACTGCCCTACTAGGGAGGGTCATAAAAAAACTTCCTGCTCCAAAGGTCTTATCTTACTACACTAGGGATTATGTAGCTATATATGAAATTTCATGCATATCAGTTAATATCTTGACCCTCCTCCACAAAAATAGCTGTTTACTTGGCCGTTTTCCTATGTCGTGAAGGCTGAAATTTCAATTCAGTGGAGCACTTACTGTTCCCAACCCTAACCCTGCGGAAACCATCTAATTAGACTTTAATTTGATTCTGACATGTTTTTATGAGGTAATTTAATTATTGTTTAATTTAAACCAATGTTATATATCTGACGTTAGCCGCCCTGAGCCTGACTTCAGCCAGGGAGGACAGAATATAAATAAAAGTTTATTATTGTTATTTATTATTATTCCTTTGTAAGAAAATATGAAATAACGTAAAACCATTTTTGCAGGCAAAAAAAATAAGAAATCAATGGGGGGGTGACAAGAAATTTTCTGCACCGGGTACCACCTGACCTTCCTATGCCTCTGTTTACATAACAGAACTTCCAGGCATTACCTTTGCCAACTCCCATGCATTAGATGGCCAGAGCCAAGGCCTGCAGTTTCCCCAGTGGACTTCCCCATTCTTGTGCGTGTGATGATTCAAAATCTCTTTTTTCCATTCTTTACACAAGGAGCACGCAGGCTGAAACTACAAAGCAAAATGAACACCAATACAAGTACTGTAATTTAAATCATTGGTTTCAAATTTTTTATCCAAGGGGGTGGGACTCAATTTGGATTGTCCAAGAAATCAAACAATGTCCAGTCCCCAAAGTCAACAAATTACAATTCAGTAAATAAAAAGGGATTAAAAGGAGTTAGGGATGGGACTGCTTACTGTTGGCAGGAAAGAGGCAGAGATGCTGAGGTTATACGGGTTTACATAGTCGTAGTGTCTCTCTAGTGGGCTTCCGGTTTCTAAAACCCTTTGAGAGATTCCTGCATGTGCATGCAAAGAAAAGCCGCAAATACTCTGGAATTAAGGGAGGGGGAGAAATGCAAATAGAAAGTTTGCTTTGAATGCTTTGAAACGATTGTGAGCTTTATCCTTTCAAAATGCAAAAGAAGCTGCACAAAAAATGCCGCAGCCACCACAGCAGAATTCAGAGTGCTCTTTGCAAGCAGGACTCGTGTGTTTTTAAATGCCACATGTCAAGCATAAACTTAACATGTGGAGATGGTTTGGGTAGAATGGCATCACCGGCTTCTTAAAGGAAATCAGAGCATAACTTAAGATTCCATTCTGTTGCAAATAAAATGTCCTCTCTATCAAAACAAGTAGAAAGCAAGTTATTTTAATAAGGTGTAATCTAAGTACAGTGGTACCTCAGGTTACATATGCTTCAGGTTACAGACTCCGCTAACCCAGAAATAGTGCCTCGGGTTAAAAACTTTGCTTCAGGATGAGAACAGAAATCGTGCTCCAGCAGCACGGCGGCTGCGGTAGGCCCCATTAGCTAAAGTGGTGCTTCAGGTTAAGAACAGTTTCAGGTTAAGAACGGACCTCCGGAACGAATTAAGTACTTAACCCGCAGTACCACTGTATACAGTGGTGCCCCGCAAGACGAATGCCTCGCAAGACGGAAAAACCGCTAGACGAAAGGGTTTTCCGTTTTGAAGTTGCTTCGCAGGACGAATTCCCCTATGGGCTTGCTTCGCAAGACGAAAATACCTTATGCAGTCTTGAGATTTTTTATTCGCTTCCCCCTTTATCTAATCTGCTAAGCCTTTAATAGCCTTTAATAGCCTTTTAGCAGCTAATCCCCTAAGCCTTTAAGCCTTTAATAGCCGCTAAACCGCTAATAGCGCTAATAGCGCTAATCCGTCAATGGGCTTGCTTCGCAAGACGAAAAAACCGCTAGACGAAGACTCTCGCGGAACGGATTAATTTCGTCTTGCGAGGCACCACTGTACTATTATTTGCCATGTTATGAACTGTCTTGTAAGGGAAAATACCCTGAAAGGAAGCTTAAATCTATTAAATAAATAAAATTAAAATACATTGGGCTAAAAATATTTGGGAGGGGGGTGTGCTGGCTCCTGTGTCTTTAAAGGCTGAGGCATGCAGAAATTTAACAGGTACAGCTTCCTTTGATCATGGAGATAAAGCATCACAGAAAGTTGCACCTATTGAATTTCTGACAGATATGAGATGAAGCCCAGCATTATAATGCCAAAGTACCCATAGAGGGTCAGAACTGAAAACATGTACCACAGTGTTCTTAAGGTTTCCTTTTCAATGTCTGGCCAAAAACATGTATCTTCCACCACCCCTTCTTTCTTCTAACTATTATCTCTTTTTTCTGTCTCTCTGGTAAATCACATACTCTGAATGCAGAGTGAAAGGTTCCTTGAAATTCTGCTGGTTACATAGCATTGTGGCTGAGAAGAGCAAGGGGCAGCTCTTACTCACAAACACTTAAGAATACCGCCATGCACTGAACGCTCATCCAGAGAACATATTGCAATTTGGGGAAAGTAGGGAGATAAATTATTGTTTCAGAGCACAGCAACAAAATGGAGCCATTAACCCTGCCCGTTTGTTTGTTTTTTAAAAATCAATCTATTCCTATCTAGGCCCACTGCTCTTTCCTTGAGCATGGAGAGTACTGTTTGTAATCAGAGCGATGTGTGGAATGTTTGATATTTCATGTGTCCTTGAGGCTGTGTGGGAAGAGGTGGCAGAGGCAAGCTTCCCAGCTTCCCAGAACATCACACATTCTCACTGAATCCTTCATTTTCAAAACCCAAATCGACCTCTGGGCAATTCCACTTCTTCCCAACCCACAAGGAAGCAATTCCGTGAATTTTACTCATGATTGAAACATGCTGAGAACCTGGGATTGTCAGCCTTGTTGTCAATAAATGTTTTGTTCAGTATGGTCCTGTACTGCAGAGTCAGGCCTAAGTATCACAAGCTGTTCCAAAAAGTACCACAAGAGTGGTTAATGAATCATTTTATATCCCGTAACTTTTTTCCTGTGAGGCAAGATATCTGAAGCATCACAGAAGTTGGGCTGCACTCTTTGCTGCTGTTATTGTGGCCAGGACTGTAGCTAGGGTGTGGTGAGGTGGGCCCCCGCCAGGGGCATAGGCGATCAGGGGTGCACAAAATCGGATGAAAATATGTCCATAAATATAAATATTGATTAGTGTATTGCCTCATAAGAAATGGTTTTAAATAGAGGGTGAATTGAAAGGGTGGAAGGGGTTGGGGTTGGAGGAGGGGCAGAAAGAAGAGCTAGGGGACATAGGTGGCGCTGTGGGTTAAACCACAGAGCCTAGGACTTGCTGACCAGAAGGTCAGTGGTTCGAATCCCCGTGACAGGGTGAGCTCCCGTTGCTCGGTCCCTGCTCCTGCCAACCTAGCAGTTCGAAAGCACGCCAGTGCAAGTAGATAAATAGGTACCACTCCGGCGGGAAGGTACACAGCGTTTCTGTGCGCTGCTCTGGTTTGCCAGAAGCGGCTTAGTCATTCTGGCCACATGACCCGGAAGCTGTATGCCGGCTCCCTCGGCCAATAAAGCGAGATGAGCGCCAGAACCCCAGAGTTGGCCACGACTGGACCTAATGGTCAGGGGTCCTTTTACCTTTACCTTAGGGGACACAATCTGGACAGTTCTTCCAGGGGTGCAAAATCACCTAGCTATGGCTCTGATTGTGGCTGAGTCATGCCTGCAAGCAGCTCCATGTGTGGGTACACGAAGCCCACATACGCAGAGACAGCTCCATGAGGCAAGGCATTTGCATAAAGTGGCTGTTCCTATGTAGTTCCAGCGATTTCAACCCATGCCAGAAAATTCCCCAAAATTCAAAAAGGGGAAGCCTTCACCAGCATGGAGATTCTGTGACGGTAAAAGGTGTGCAGATTGAATTCTTCCAGTCATGTTAGTCATGCAGCAAAGCAAAAAGCCACAAACTTCCATCTATCCAGAGCATTTCTGATGCTTTCTTTATAATTCAAATACGAATGGTGCCATTTTGGCATCACTGACAAATTTTACACAAATTGTCAAACAAACTGCCATGATGATGCACAGCATAAGATTATATAGTCCAGTTTCGGAACTTCAGTTATTTAACTGTGAAGTGCTGCCTGCCCATTTTTTAAATATAATTTTTGTGCTATAACATTTTGTGAAATAATAATTTGAGTGGTGACATCCTGGCACCCTTGAGCAATTTGAAATCATTGAGATGGCTGCCAAATTAGTTTGGCAGCTTCGCAAAAGAATTGGAAAATGCCGCCCACCAAGTATATTTTGAGATCTGGGCGACTTGTGTGTCTCTTAGTGGAAGACCCGCCTCCAAAATTCTCTTCCCACTCAAGTCTCAAAGATATAGGAAAACAAGCACTCCACACACGTCATTTACAGGGTAAGAGCAGTGAAAGTATGTAGGAATCAACATAAAAAATAAATAAAACAGGCAGGATTAGAGACTCCCTTTTGTTGCAGTGCTTTGAAATAATCATTTTCTGGTGACAAGCATAATCATTTCCCGAAATATTTCAAAGCAGCGAGTCACGCTGTCTTCAACTACATCTTTATAAAGCGTCAGTTGGGCTTCATTCTTGGCAGGACTCCATACCTTTGGCTTCTATGCAATTTTCTTTGCAACCTTCATAGTGGTACCTGGTCATTATCTTAATCTGGTGCTAAGTAAAGCACACCAGCAGCAGTTTTTCAAAACATGAAATTAACTATCCATAGATGTTAAAGTAAGAAGTTCTGATTCAAATAATTCTGTGCAAGTACTCTGAGAGGGCAGGGTCTCTTCATTACGATGTTTTGAAAATCCTGGCCTGCTTCCATTAGTGAAACTGTTTCTCTTTGAAGCCTTGATTGCAGAACAAAGTTCACTGCTATGTATGCGATCAGTGCAATATGTTGTATCAGCTGCTGCACACTGACTTCTCTAATCATTCTCACTTATCTTGCCTGCACGCAACATCACTGTAAGCCTTCAAAACCTCTAAGATTGTTCCTTGTAAGGATTTCATTTGGGGTCTGTAATTAGCAGTTCTACACATAATATTCCCCGATCAGCTATGATGTTTAGGATTGCGACTGAAGGTGCACATTTTGCCCCAAAATATATGGCGTGCCAAAAGCTAAAACCTGGATGTCTAGTTTGATGTGGAATTTAGTTTGATGTACCATTCCAAAGCTTGGCTGCCATCATGCTACTAATGGCATCAAATACACATTTTAAACCCCAAATGAGACAATCCAATGAGAGATTACATAATCTGGAACAGAAAAGCAACCCTCTGCCCACCTCCCCTCTGCTGCAAAGCAAAAGTGAAACTGGCACCATGAAACAACTGTGCATTTTTATTAACGATTGTAGGTGCATCATAGTGGCACTCTAAAAATAAAATTGCTCAGCATCCTTCATGTTTGTAACTAGCATCCCTAATGTTTTTTTTTTAAATCTAAGAATTAATGGCATTTCTTGGGATTTCTTCCTTCACATCAAAACTAATTTGGCAACCATCTTGAACATTTCAAATTTCTCAAGGATGCCAGGTGCCATCACTGCAGCTATTGCTTCACTATAATAGAAGAAAATATTTCAGTATTTCACAATGAAATAACGGAAGTTCTGCAACCACATTAAAATAAAGAAGCGAGAGAACTGGCCGTGTTGCGCTGCCCCTGAGCTTATATATAAACAAATGAAATTATAATACATTAAAAGGATAGGAAAACGCGCAGTATGCTGTACAGTACTGCATTATAAAGCAGGGAATCTCTCGGCTTGCAGAAGGGGGCACTGTTCGAAAGAAACAGTTTTACAGAAAGCGCTCGAGATCCGAGACAAGCCGGAGTTCTTTGTTCTGGCCGAAACTTGCCACGAGCGCGGCGCGTATCTTTCCGCGCGAGAAAAGAGGGATGCGGAACCCCTTCTCCTGTTTTCCTGTTCAAAATCGTTCCCTCCTCTTTGATTGAGCAAAAGTAGTTCCCCGCCCCCGGCATTGAAGGGACCTCTGGGGCGCGCCACGTGCACTTCGGAAAGGGTCGGGTGTTTGTTTCTCGAACGCGCTTTTGGCGGGAGAGGGGCGACCAGGCAAAGCGAGGCAGGAGCCCCCTCCGACCTCCGCTTCCCAGGGCGGAGCCTCACCTGCTTGCCTCGAGGGGTGCAGCGCCCGCGGCAGCGGAGGCCCGACGGGCTGAGGCGCGCGGAGGAGCGCGCGACGAGCTGGCGGTGAAAGGCCTGCACTTGCTCCCCGGCAAAGCGCTGCAGGGCGGCCCGCAAGAGCAGCAGGCTGTGCCCGGCCTTCACCCAGTTCTTGTACTCGGCGCAGTTGAGGCGAGAGGCCAGTTCCGCCAGCGCCATGGCATGCCCGACTCTGCCGCCTTGCGCGCCAGCCTCCAGGGGGCCGGGCTAGAGGCGGCGGAGCCGGCCGGCCTCTGTCGTTCGTTGCCTCAGGGGAGCGCAGGCAGGAGCTGCCGCTCATCCCGAGGTCATCCTGTCAGCTATAGGTTCACACTTGCAGACCCTTTCCTAAGCAACCGTGCAAGAGGTAGGTATCGATTTCCTTGAAACCACACTTTGACTATTTAAAACGAGGAAAAATCTTGACTCCTCCCTACCCAAGGGCACTCATATTTTTCTCAGCAGTGTTAGCTTCATAAATAAAATAGTGTACACTTATGTTAATTTCCAGATGGTAGCCTTTTTAGTCCTTTGCAATATATATATATATATATATATATATATAGTCACCTTAAAGGCTAGCAAATTTATTATGGCATAAGATTTTGTGGAGTACAGTCCACGCCACCAGTTGCGTGAAATTTGAGAGAAATGTAAAGGCGAGGTCCGTGGGAAATGAAATTCAGAAAAGCAAACAGTGGTATTACTTTTTTTAGTGGTAATTCGACCTAAAACAGTTCTTGATTCCTCAGAAAAGTCCATGGCACCCTATATATATTTCAATATATGATCTATATTCTCAGGATATGTTCTTAGGTATTTGTGAGACCATTTGCCACTAGTATTCTGTTACATACCAGAAACCGCCAACTTCCTGAGGAAGCTTCTACTGGCAATTGAAAAAAAGACAAACCCAAAAGGGCAGCAAGATAAAAGTTGATAAAGTATTCCTGGTTCGGATAAATGTAATGGAAGAACTATAACTTATGAGTTACCCTCAGAATTGACTGGCCAACCGCATAAATGGAAGTACTAATTAACTCATGGAATTCACTGCCACAAGATGTGGTGATGGGCATTATCTTAATCAGAGCTAACCTATATTTTGCCTATTAATAGCTATAATGTAACCTCCAAATACAGTTATTACTGATATTGAACAAGGTTCAATTTTCTTTAGCTTCCATATACACGCTTTATAAAAGTTGTCATGTTTCCTTCAGTGTCCTAGTGTTTTGTGTCCTAGATCATCTATATTTACTGATATGGAAGCTGTCAAATTTCCCCCACTTACTAGCTGCACCACATGGGAATCTTTTAACATGCATTAACTTACCACTTGGGATTGTCATGTGGAATCACCATGCTAGCACCAGTTGTCTCTGTAGCAGCTACTGGTGAACAGGGGAAGACTATGTAATGTTGCCATTCCATGTGGCAAGCTACTCTACAAGGTACAACTGCCAAGTGGGAGATTTTCCCCAGAGGCTGTTTCAAGCTGCTTCCATGCAACACTTTCAATGTGAAGAATAGTCAGAATTCAGAGAACAACCTAAGCTACTGCTTTAGTTGGGTACACTTACTGGGTCTTTCCCATTTTCCCTCTCCATGTGCATGAAAGTAAGTCCCTCCATTAAAAACTGCTTCTGCTGCATCCCTGAGTTTCAAAGTCAATTGCTGTGCAGCACAGAATGCCGCCCTTGCTCTCAAAAGGCCTACTGAACTTGTTTCAGGGTGCTTCAGGAACTTGCCTTAAATCAGGTATGAAGATCTGCAAAATCATACCACTTACTGCTTGCTCAATCCAACTTTTAGAGATAATAAACCACTGTACTTGAAAAGGAACTGGCAATTTCCTACTTCTAAATTTGGTGCACTGAGTATGTTGAGCTTTTAAGGCAGTGACGAACTACCCAGAAACAGCCCCATAAGCAAGCAATCTGGCATTATTTTTTTCACATATAAAAATGAAACATTTTTAAAGCAAACACAGAAACATTTTTTTAAATCTAGTTTATTAAATATTGCTTTTGGGGGGACATGTTTACAACAAGCCCAGATTTAAATGTAAGGATTCAAAGCAGTCATATTAAAATACAGTTTCAATATAAAGTTTGTCACAGTTTTACAGTATTCAAAAAATGACAGACCTGCCTTTAAAAAAAGACTATTACACCAAGACATAAGAAAAAACATTTAAATAAACAAATTTTGGCATTTTCATAATCTTTGTAGTATAAAACAGAATATTAACTCTATTTACTGGCAAGCGGATACATAAATCTATTACGACTTTGAAATGTCTCCGTAAAACATCATACAGAGTGCTGTACAAAAAGTCTGATGAAAGTGCATCCCTGAAAGTGGGCCAATCCATTGTATTAGCTCTTTTTAAAATGTGACACGTGAAAATGTCTCTTCCATTTTATATAAGTGAAGGCTTATTTCAGAGAAATGTTTTTGCCTCTTCATCTCATTTTTACCCTTTGCTTAAAAATAGCCTATGGACGCCCACCAGGGGGCAGTGTAAGGTTAGCCATTAAATCACGAACAGCTGCAAAGATTGTACATTCACCTAGAACAAGGGAAAGAAACACAAGTTAGCTGGAGAAAAAACAAGCTGGGTTATGGCAAGTGATAAACTTAATCAAATGCATTTCAATTTTTGTCACAAGGCACGCCACAACTCAAACTTTTGTAAATAGGCAATTATAACCAGGTGCAACAGTAATCAAAGAACTTCAACGTTAAGCAAGTTTGCTTTATTCTAACCTACTGGAAATAGCGTAGCCAGCTTGGGTGGAAAATATAAATCAACATGTTGATAAGGTGCAGTTTGCCCACTCAACCACAACTGGACCATTAGGAGTCTCCAAATGCAGCAAAAAACCCAAGAGTGGTGCAAAATGTTGGTCTTGGGTCAAGGAGACCTGGATTCAAAACCCTGCCTCATATGGCATTGGGTGAGTGCCTATTTCTCAGCCCAGCAGAGTTCATACAACACCCCCCAACATGTGCTACCCTCAGCTCCTTGGAGGAAAGGAGGGATGCAAAGCTGACTGATAACCAAACTTCCTTGGCAATAAAGACTCGGAGACAAAGATAATTGTCCAGTTCAAAAGTAACAGCTCAGCCAGTATCTCCTGATAGGCAAATACAATCACAGCAAGCTAAGCTATACTGCTGGTGTTGGAGCTGGTTTGTTGGTGCTGCTGTGGACACTTCTAAGGATTAGGAATCTTGATGAGGATTTGATTTTACAGGAATGCTCTAATAGACAATAGGTTACTTACATGTGCATTGTGCTTCCACTTACAATTTCAGAATGACAAAGCAGTGAAAAGTAGCCATGAAGTCTTCTCTAAACTTCAGTTTAGATGGCATACATTTTATTATTTTTTATGCCATTATATTTTAGAGTAATGGAACAAAACTGCAAATGCCAATTCCAATAACTCCCCCCTCCCTTTCAATAAAGCCCCATGGCCCTGTGTAGTAAAGCCTGATGACAAAATGCCTCACTGGCAAAGATGACGCTTGTTTAGTTATGTATAGAAGCTATACCTGCATTTCCCTCCCACAATAGTCAGTGCCAAGGTAGCTGAAAGTTGCTCTTTGGAGCATGCATGAATTATGGGTGGCATGCACGATATTCCAACTGCTAGTGACACGCAGCATGGATGTTGAATAACTCACCTTGAACCTTACTGCCCAGGTAGAAACACAAGGCTAACCCCTCCCAACATCGCAGTTACCTCAGTGACGATCAGGGGTTCAGGATGGAGTGTTGCCAAAAGTAAAGGCAAGCATTTGAAGAGGCACACACACATACCACATCAATCCTATAAGCTGCTTCAATGTAGTCAAATGGTATGTGTATCCACACAGTGCAGTCTCAGAATCAGTGTTCATGTCTATGCTGTAACACTACACTAAGAATATGCTGGCACTTTTTTAAAAAAACAACCCTAAACTAATATAATGATTTTTTAATTGTTAAACCAAGAACGAGTAAGCAACAAAGGTATCCTTTGAGGGGAGAAAATCTTCCATTGAAGAAGTTAGTGTCTTGGGTAAAAATATCATACCCAAGAATAAAACTGTTAAAAAAATCACTTTTCAAAAGTTTCTAACACTTTTATTAAAGGAAAAGTGAAACTGAATACAAAAGTTTCTCACAGAAACAAAGCAGGCAGCATAAATAAGAGAGAAGATACAGTCAAGGCAAGATGTTAGTCATGAGATACAGAAAGTATAAGCCAGAGCTGTAAAGTGATACTTTATGGAATAATTTATAAGTAGTTCCATCTTCCTGGACCCCAGGCTTTCCTCAGAGGAGTACAATTGAGAACAAGACAGGTAGTAAAACCTTGTAACAGTAAAATTACAAGAAATGGGAAGACATTCCTACAGTGCAAGATGACTTAACAAGCACTAGTTTTCACAGAAATATATACACAGTGCTCACATGACAAAAGTTAAAATCGTGTCGCTATGACTACAGTAGTATGAGCCAAGTCATTAAGTGCATTACACTTCCTTGGTCAGTGTCATAAAGTCCATGTTGTGTCAATAATACAACCCTTCTGGCACCACAGAGAGGTATATATTCAACAATTTATCACTAACATGCAGTAATCCGAAGCCAGGTCTTATGAGGTCAGTTTTCACGAAACCAAAAAAAAAAAAAGGCAAAGCAACACTGGTGGTAAAGTGAAATTTAAAAACTTTAAAAGGTTGGACTCTGTCCATTCAAGCATGCAGAAGTTTTGACCTACTGGACATGTACAGTACCTGGTCGTGGCGAATTCAGTTCTGCAAACCTCTTTAGAATATTGCTAACCATCAAGGGAGCAGCAACTGAAGAGTTCTGCTGTCTGGGGATGTCTGCCTGTTGTGTCGTACCTGAAGCCATATCATAAATGATGGGGACTATTATGCTCATGGCTTCCTGTGAAACTGTAGTCTTCTGTGTTAGCTGAAGCTGTGAACAGAATAGAATATGCAAAAAGTAATCACAGTAATCTTGCAATATACCTTTGATGTAGATATGGCAACATCACATGAGTTAAGGCATGGTCTTTATTACTGTGCCAGTTTGAATGCATTCCTTAGCTCAAGAGGAAAAATGAAAGCCAATATACGACCGACACAAATTAGTTATCCAAACTTAAATCAGAACCGTTTCAAACTGATAACTAAACCAAAGTGCACCAAAAGTCCTAGTGCAGCTTGAAATGCCCTAATTTCCCTACTGGGCATTCAGGAGTAATATATGAACACAATTTTTTACAATCCAAATTGCTTTGTAGTACAAAAGGGAAACTGGGAGATTTAGAAATAAGCACTATGTACTGTCCAATTTTTCTTTAAAGAAATTTGGAATGGTGATATTGCAAAAAGTAAGATTATCTTCACCATTCATCCTATTTCAATGTCAGCTGGGTTTTTTAAATCCGAAGTGTTCACTTTAAACACACTGGCAATTACATAAACTGCTTATCAAAATGGGTCTACATAACCATCTCCACACATGCAAACTTTCAAAGCTACATATTATGGAAAAAGTAGGTGCCTTTTACATGGCATATGTGAAAAGAAATACTAGCACAAATCAAATATAGTGCCCTGTTTGTAAAGAAATTGATTATGGGTCTAATTGCATAGAGTCATGTGTTAGTCACGGCCTCTTACAGCAGAAGCAGCAGCTTCAGCATTTAGTCATCCTTAACCCCAATTGAAGCAATGGAACATGTTGAAATTTTATATTTTGGTTTCATATATTGTTACTGGCATCCATATGTCTTGAGAGATAATGGAGTGCACCTCCGGGGTCCACTGTGTTAGTAGTACCCTGGGGCACAAGCCTGGGCAGTGTGTGTGTGTGTGTGTGTGTGTGTAGGTCCTGGGCTGCCCAGACGACAAGATCCCTCCTCCTGACATACTGATGTGGTCCAAAGGGAAGCAGAGCAATATGTTTAGAACCAGCTTGGCTGCAGGAGTTGCCAGAAGGAAGGCATACAAGATGTCATCCAACTGTCTTATGGACTCCACTCCGGATTTGTGTAGGTTTTACTCCTTAGCCTGTCCTTCTGAGGATATCCCACAAGGCAGCAGAGGTTTAGGAATAGAGTTTTTCTTCTCCTTCATGGGCTACATTCCTAGGTTGATGACTCCATCTGCCCCTCACTTTCATGTATAACCAGAACAATTCAGTTCTTAGACTTCAAGGGGATGAGAATAGGACAATATATTCTGTAATTAGGTATCTCATTTGCTATTTACACAATGGCTGACGGAAGTCATATTTAGACTACTCCTTACAACTGGACACTGTCAAAGACTGCACCAAACATGGAACTGACTTAGTTGCTCTACTTACAAAGAACAACATTTTGGATTTCAGCACAACGGCCGGTGTTCCTGGAGGAGCAATTGGTGGAGCACTTGGAGGAATTGTCAAACAAAACTGTACATTCCATTTCAGCTGGCTGGCCTGATCGGGAAACTGTTTCAATAAAACATGCCACAGAAAAATACAGATGAACAATCCAGTCTGGTTTATGAGAAAAAATACAGAATGTTGCGAAGACATTAAAACTAACTTACCAGCTCTAGTTTCATAATGTGTACACAGTCCCGGAGAATGTGTGGAGGTGCCCCTAACAGCTTTGTAAAGGCTATTAGAGTATTGGATTTGAAGGGTGGTCCTGCAACCTACAGTGAATGCAATGTGTTATTAGAATTTCTTTAGGCAGCTCAATGATTCTTCAATCCTGCTCTTAATCCATATCACAAATCCTACTGAAATCAAAATAACAGCACAAGGATGTGAAATTCCCATTATGGCAATCTCACAAATTGAAATTCTGTACAATAAATGCTGGAAAGTTAGGTAAAAACCGTAAGAATATGAAGTGGCCCAGTTCATTATCAACACAAGCATCAGCACAGGAACATACAAAGGAGAAAAATCACATGGAACATCAATGTCAGCCTGGCAGCTTTTAGGGAGGTGCTGAACTGGCATGAGTATGTTCTGCATAAGCTCACTGGACATGAATCACATATGTGTGGTGTATTATGAACTTATTTTATGAATGTGGTTTTCAAAAATCTTATCAAACTTCAAATTACAAATAAAGTAAGATGGGGTACATACTCTGGTTTCAAAGAATTTCTCCAAAACCTGCAGTTCTTCTTGTTTCCACTGCCCTGCAGTTTCAGGTGCTACTTTTAGCTGCAAGGTCTGGTTAGTTTTAGGGTTGAGGGCAACTCTACATTTCAGGGCATCTGTCTTGAACATTATTACACCTGGTTCATTGGAGTTCATAAGCTGTAGCTGTTTAAAAGCCAAGACAGTTGATTAGAATGCAAGAAATAAGCTGCTGCCCACACTTCATTATACTCTAAGCAGCAGGAGCAAAAAATTCACAAACCCTAAGCATTTTAAGGTTGGCTGCATGTAGCTTGTCAGGTACATCTCCACCTGCCTTCCCCAATCTTGGGTTCCCAGTTGTTGCCGTACTACAACTCCCATTATCCCTGACCATTAACCAAGCAGGCTTGGGAAAATGAGATGCTCTCTATTGTCTCAGCAGGGTGCATTGTCTTATGAACCCCCCGCCTTATCTGCTAAGAGGAAAGTGCTGCTTCTGCTTTTTTAAAAACAACAACAACCAGTTCTTATATTGTTATTATTCAACTTCTTCCCTCTGGCTTTCCCCTACAAGCCCTGAGATTTGTCAATACAAATTCCTGTTTCACTAATCCTAGCAAATACTGGATGGTCCTACGCAAATAATAAGAGTTTACAGCTTAGCCAAAGTTTGGACCATGTTTTTCAAATCAGAAGTGCTAAATAAGCAGTTTTCCACTTGCATTGGTAGGAATCCAGGAGCTACCTGCTGAAGAAACTGGTAATGGCAGAAAAGCTGTCTGAAAGCCACTTGAGCACCATTCCAAATGATTCAAGGATGCAGTCTTAGTTTGCATGGGGGGGGGCGGAGCTAGCCCCACCACCACTTACACAAACTGAGTGTGCACCCCAGAATTTTCTGCTCAGGACTCCACAGTCAACATGTAAGAGTTCTTTGGCAGACTTGTAGAAAGTATTCCCTATGGGCAGAAAAAATAAAAACCACCGTCCTCAACTTCAGCAATGCAGTATACCAACTCAATGTGGTTAAAACATCACAAATCACATCCCATTTCACACCTCTTAAAATGCAGAATGGTTAACATCTATTAGGCTGTATCCAACGAAGTCATAGTAGAGCTACTAAAAGTAATGGCCGTGACTCATACAAGTTCATTAATTTCAATGGGCAGAACCCAACATAGCAGTTACGTTAGCACAAGGCCTTGTGGCTGCACAACAAAAATTTACTTCTCTTATTGCACAGAAGCTAGGAGAAGTCTAAATTTAAAGTGATTGTGTAAGGAACTAAACATGTTGAGTCCTTACGTACCGGCTCCTGCTGGATAATCCTTTGGAGATGTCTTCTCATGATAACTGATCCAAGGAAACGTTCAAGTGGAGAGCAGAGATAGCTTCCAGCCAGCCCCGGCATAAGCCCGGGGGTGGGAGAGGGCAGAAGAAGAATGTTCAAGGCACTGTGAGTGAGAATTGTGGGTATGGATGCAGCCCAAGAGCGATGAGGTAGTTTACGAGGTGGCGGCATATTTGTTGGCATTACTTGGGAACCTAGTAGAAATAAGAAAAAGCACACCTCACTCTTCCTGTCTAGGGATGCATGGCTATTTACATACATTTAAAATGCTAGGCAGTTCCCTGTAAGACTTGGCATAATGAAAACTTCCCAAACTCAGCACCCCAACAATTCCAAAGACTAAGAAACAGTTAATGGCTGTGTCCAATTCCCTCTATTTCCCTCATGCAAACGGAGAGGATTAACTACTCAGATCACTATTCCAGAGTTAAGCTGATTGCACAGTCACCTTAGCTTCAAATCACAATAATGTTTGATTAATGTACTTTGTTTATTTTGCATTAACAAATAACTCAGTCATAGAATCACAGAACTCTACAGTTGGAAGGAACCATGAGGGTAATCTAGTCCAATCCCCTGCAATGCAGAATTTTTTTGCTCAAACCTACAACCCTGAGATTAAGTGTCTCATGCTCTACCAATTAAGCTATCCCTGCCTGTATGCCTGCCTGCCTTTGTCTAACTGGGTTGCCATAACCATGTCAACAGCTTTTTGTAGTGAAATACTAAGTTTGAACATCCCCTCTATTGGCTTTGCAGCCTCTTGTTGATATTACTTACTTGTTCCCGCTCTTGGGGAATGGGAAGCATCTGGTACTGGAGAATGTAAAGAAGGGTTCGCTGGTGACATTCCAGGCATGCGTGCTCCTGGAGAGGGACCAGAGACCTGGGGCGAGCCTGGCCAATTCCCTGGACGCTGGCTTGGAGACATCATTGTGTACGGTGAAGTAGGATCTATAGGACCTATGGAAATTGCAAGAAAATTGTAGGCAGCTTTCTCTGGGTGTACTATCTGTACACCAGGATCCATAGCCTTCCTAGACCCTGCCTATCTAAAGCCTAACACATCAAACATGCCTTGATTACGTACATTTTTAAGTGGTGAATCTTAAAAAATGAATGCTTTATTGCTCAGTCTATTCATTGATAGGGGGCTTGCTTGCTCTGCTTACCACTGAAGGCTGCAGGACAATGTCTGTTGACTCAAGAGATTTTAGAAACCATTTGCTCCAATTTTTCCTCCCTGCTATGTTGGGGCTGATAAAGTCGGCGATTTGTCAGCAGCAGCGGCTCCTGATTAAGTAGGAGCAACAGTTCAGGTGTGTGAAGAAACAGTTGCTGTCATTTCAGAGCCTGCATCCCAACAGGGAATGGAGCAGTGCGCTTTCCCAGAGTCAGGAAAAGGGGTTGTTTGTTTTACGGTATCTGAAGTGTCAGTTTTCTATCAGTATCCAGCTGTACAAGTCATGGGCTTACCATGTGGGCTAGCATAGTTCGTATTTTGTCCCATTGTGATTCCAAGAGATGAAGGAGAAGGAGTTGGACCAAATGATGCTGGTGACGGTGCTCTTAATGCACCGCTCGGAGAGTTTGCAGGATGTAGCGTTCCTAAAGGGGACATTCAGGACAGCAACTACGTTACGTACTGCCCAACTATTCCTCTCCAAGTTTAAAGAGAACTCTCTTTTTAGTAAGTTGTCAAGATTATTTGAAGGTACAGTGATTTATAAAAACACAGGGCGCATCACAATTCATTTATGAAACACCTTAGGAACACTAAATGCCATGAACTGCTACTGGTGATGCATAAAAGGCAGCCGTCTTACCTGGAGACTGCGTGTGCATCATGGAAGGTGACGGGGTGACTGTACTGTGATATGATGTAGGGGGTGATGTCAATGGGTAAGCCCCTGGTGCTCCTGTCTGTTTTGAAGACTGTTGAAATAAGACCTTTATTAGATATAGTAAAATATAGATCCCAACAATTCTACATGCTTAAATATCTAATACTTAGAAGTTCTGTCCTCAGGCATTGGACTTCATTAAAGCTGAATTTCTAGAGTAGCATTTCACTTCTTTACACTACCTTTCCACAAACTACCAACATAAGCCATTGATTCCAAGAGCCATTTTCCCTTTCTATTATATCTCCAAGTCTATTATGTGGTCTGTACTTTACTGCTTCTAGCCAACAGCTTACGCACTGGACATCAACATCCACTCTAACTTACACACGTTGATGTATTAGGCACGTATCTTACACAAATTTAGACCATTACTTCCTCCAGTTCAGTGTCTACACTGACTGACAGTGGTTCACTGGGGATTCTGACACAATACTTAGAACCTCTGGCATTCCATGAATATGCTCTAGCAATGTCTAAGGCCTGGGGAGAGGTCAGTTGCCATCCTCATTCTGCCCCCTCCCAAGGTCTTCATAAATCACCACTACATTTTAAAATATGTTGTTATGTATAAGTTTTCACTTACTGTTGGCCAGGAAGAGCTATAAATATTGCTACGCAAGTACAATAAGGAGGATATGACCTCACTTGCTGTTGTTATCTCTTTGGACATACACATTTGTTAGAAATGATCACCGTAATCATAGGGGCTTAGCCTTATACTGGGAGCCTTATACTGCACACATACAACCTGCGGCTGTGGCTGAAGCTGTGATATCAATGAATCCATCATGTCCCCTCCAATAGGAGATGGTGGGTTATCATCTTCATTGACAGATCGTCTTCGTGCATCCTGATTGCTGTCAACAAACATGTTCAGAAATGTCTGTGGATATAGAGTATTCAGATTTATGAGTCAACATGTCTTCCTATTGTATCTACCAGACATCTAGATCAACCTTAACAGCAATATTCAAGGATTTTATAATTATTTCAGCTAGTCAGTGTCTGTAGAAGCAGCTGAATTCTGTTCCATGAAAGGGATCATAAATCACAAATAATTGTATTATTTATACCCTGTCCATCTGGCTGGGTTTCCCCAGCCATTCTGGGCAGCTTACAGCATATATAAAACATAGTAAAACATCAAACATTAAAAACTTCCCGATTCAGGGCTGCCTTCAGATGTCTTCTAAAAGTACTCCTTTTGAAGATTTTTCTGTACCATTAAAAAATGGCATCCAGGACAGAAACTGAAAGTTACTTCGATAAGATCAGCTGCACTACACTTGAAAAAGCACAACTCATAGAAAACTCAAGTTTTTTAAAACACCATAAAATGATGGATATGACATATTAAGTCACAGAATGGTCCATTCAGCCCAGCAGTGAGCACTCTGAATGGCAGCAGCTCTCCAAGATGTCAGGCAGGAGTCTATTCCATCTTGCTACCTGAATTTGGCTTTCAGTAGCCAAAAAGTATTGAGTAGCAGTTGTGAAAACACCCAAAAGTGATCTGAAGGATGTTACTGTCCAAACCCCATGCCCAACACTGTCATTATATCCTAAAAAAGTGCAGAGCAAGCTATTTAATCCCCTTAGCACTGGACAACCTAGAGTCCTAAAAATAAAATTTATTTGGAGGAGCTACAGTTGCCAGCCCCTTACAAAGGGCATTTCCTCTTAAGCAAAACTTTCTGAAATATTAATGGGAACCCAGCCTTATTTAATTACACTGTAAAATAAAGATAAAAAGACCTTTAGTCCTGGTGCAGGGTAAAAGCCTTCCACAATTTTACTGTTGTCAAAAAGGCTGTATGCTCCATCGCGAATTGCCACCACCCCACGGCTTTGACAGTAAATGTCAATGCAGTACATGTTCCGAAAGGCCAGCCTGATGTGTGTGGGTGACTGAGGCAGAATTGAAAAACATTGGTAGGCAGTGTTGGTGCGTTGTGTCAGTCCCAGCATTGGCACAGTTGGGAGCTTATTGATAGCATTTAATGGAGCCTGAGTATCATACAAAACCTGCAAGTAAAAACAAAACTTGTTTAGTTTCACAATAGCCAACGAAATATACTTAGCCTTTAGAAACAATCAACATAAATGCAGCTTTAAAGTTGTTTTTACCAGGGGTAAGAACCTGCTGGCTTATTTATTGTGTATTAAATGTTCATATCAACCTTTCCCACACACACTCTTTTTTTAATCAAAAGCAAACTCTTAACAGCAGGTTAAATATGTAATGAATGAGCTTATTCTCCCCTACAGCCCTACACACAAGTCATTATTGGCCTCTTGTGCTAAATGATACTCCTGAGAACTGGGAACAGAATTTGTCCTTTGGTGCTTTTTGCATTTTGAATCAAACATTTCTCTTCCAAGGGCAGGTTGGGGAGAAGGGTTAGTTACCTGTAAAAGTTGGACTACATTTGGTGATTTATTGAACATCTCTTGGAGCTGATGCAGGATCGTATTATGACAGTTACTGCAACCTGAGTTTGGTCCAACTGTTCCTAATGATATGTGGAATTTCTGGTGTGCAGAGTTCCACTGAATGCTGATCTATAAAAAACAAGTAAGAGCTTTAATGGAAAATAATCCAACAACATCTAAGCAAGCAACTGTTTCACAACTCAGCAGGAGGATGTGCATGTAATCACTAAACTATGGTTTAGCACAGCTAGGAAGAGTAACAGACCCAAATTCACTTTCATTTTCACTTATTCCTATCTTGTTCTTCCCTGTGAACCAGAAAATCGTACTTTAAGAGTAAACTGGTTTGTTAAAACAAGCCAGCTTCATTATCCATGGTTAGAAGTTGGCTTATTTAGAAAATGACTAGCATTAATTTTAAACCACAAATCCTGGTTGGTACATAAAGACAAGCTAGAAATCAGGCAAAGTGAAACTAAATCCTGGTTTATCCCTTCTCCAAAAAAATTACTTACTGAACTTCCTTTAGTAGTTCCATAACAAAGAATTAGCTTCCGATAATTGTAGATTCGGACCTCCGAGAAAACTTTTAGATGGCTGGGTATTTCTTCATAAGGTGAAAGAAAGTGGATGGGGAAAGATACAAAAATAGATATATGAATTGTTTCGGTAGACCTCATACAGCAACATAAGAACAAAGAAGAATGTATTTATGTACCTGGTAAGGATCTGAAATATTCCAACACACATTCATATAAGCGAGCAATGCTATTCCAGTCATTGAGGAACATCTCAACTACTTTTCGTCCACCAACTGGTTCAGACAATTGACTTTCATATGTGAGGTACACATGACGGGTAGGTCCTACAAAGTGAAAGAAATGGTCCAATATGGTCAAATCACATTGGCACACAGAAAACATAAGCAGAAAGTAGGGAAGTGCAAGACAGAACAAGCATAAGTTGGAACACTAACCTTGCTCCCTGGAGGAAGTGCTATTACTAAGTGGGCAATTTGCAAACACCAGTTCAGCAACCCATGTGCGGTTATTTCTACCTTGCAGTCGAAAAGTGCAATCGAGAAGGGAACGGTCTAGAGCCTTCTGGGTTTCTTCACTTGTACCCTTACATGGAGGAATTCTGTTGAAAAGGATAAAGGTAAGACATGTACTTATTTTAGTCTCACAGCCAAACAATTCAACGTAAGCTGCTCAATGTTTTCTGGAGAATATAATTTGTACAATAAAATGTGTCCCTGCAAGGAAACTCTGAAGTTACTAGAAAATGTAAAATAGCAACAGCATACTGAGGTATCATCTTTCAGCAATTTATGCAATTTTTAATCAATCAAAAAAAAGGAGAAAAAATAAAATTCACATAATTCATAGCAACGAGGAAGTAGTGAAATTTTGTTGTTTGGTTTTGATACTTCTCCAGGATGCTGCTACATAAAATAAAGCTAAGAAAAATTAAGGATAAGTAAGGGGCGGCAGGAAATAAAATTATTGTGCCAAAATTAGTGTCAACCTGCTGTTCACTTTTCTGCACTATGTATGCCTTTAAAAAGTGTCTGAAGATGGGTGGGTGTTTTTTTTACTCTACAACTATTGTTGTAAAACTTTCAGTTTTATAAATGAATAAACGTATAATATAATACAAGATGAGTTTTAATTCTACAACATGTTGTATATTAAATACTTTCCTCCCCTTCCATCACTCATGGAATATTGTACACATTAATGAAAGTGTGGCATAATCTCTTTACTTTAATAAACGAATAGCATGACTGAAGCCATCTCCTTCAACCTGGACTCCTTGATGTGGGATCTCCATATTGGATAGCTGAAACAAAACAAATCACATTTTTTATATTTTCATAGCAAGAGAAAAGTCCAGGCTAAAGAGCATCCCCCCTGCCACCACAACTGGCCCATTCAGCCAAGTGAAACTTCCAACATTTTCCGTCCTAATACAGGGTATTAAATGGCCTACCTGATCCTTAGCATCTACAGTATGAGCTATATATCACACAGGTAGTGATTCAGATGGTACCAGAGGCAATGACAGGCTGAGACGCCCTTCACAAGGGTTTAAGAGAATGGAGAAAGTTGAACTTCCTTGTACCTGGCAAGGTATCAGTATCTTCTGCAGCATTAAGTGAAGGATCTATGCTCCTACCTCATTGCAGATTATTGCTGAGAACTCTGCTTCAATCTACTTTCCAAACCCTTCACCCATTAGATTATTAGAAACGGCACTCCCAACAATGGCTACACCTCCTCCTTTCCAGTTTATATATAGTGTTGGGGAACCTGTGGCCCTCCAGTCTTAGCCAGCATGGTCAATAGTAACAATGGAAGTTGTAAACCAGCACCATCTGAACAGCCACAGGTTCCTCACCATTGACATAATACATCCAACTTCTTCTACGTAACAGTTTCCCCAAATTATCACACAAATAATTTATTTGCAAGTCCCAAGGTTCGCCACGCAAGTCATCCCTAAAACCGATTAAACCCAACACACCAATGGATATTTATGGTAGTTAGCAAAATGTTTTACCAAGCTGAGCACAATGCTTTCTGGTCTATGACTAAATTATTCACATTCTGGCAAACCCTGAGCTTTGTGCCTAAGCCAGCAGTTAGCATAGCTGAACAGGAAAGTCAAAGCAAGAGTCTCTTTCATCCCCAATGGCTTTATAGTCTAATTGTTCCTCCCTACTATTGAAGCTGAGGTCTAGGCTCTTTCCCATACAAAGAAAAGTCCCTGTTTAAAAAGACTTGTCAACATGACCGTCTCTTGCACAACGGAAATTATGTTACTTACCTCCATACGAAGTCCTATAAATGGCATATTTGTATCGCACATTGCTACAATGTGAGCTAGAACTTTATTGAAGGCACACATTTCTCCAGACCGCTTTGGTTTCTTGGGTTCAGTAGGACACGGATCACCAGACAACTAGAGAATAGCAGGAAACCTCTTTTAGCCAGGTGCAGTTAAAAACTGGGTTCAAAGTTCTAATTATAGGCATACGGGTCACAGCACTGAATTTGTCTTTTTCATGGAAAGCAACAGCAGGCATGCCTCTGACAATGTGGGGCAGCTGCAGAAGAACTATCTGGAGCCTTCCATTGCGCTTGGCAAGAGGGGCTTGTGTTCAGTGTCTTTTAAATTTCTGGCTCCAAATGCAAGCCTCAATAGGATGGGTTCCACTCAGGAATTCCCAAGTGGAACCCATCCCTGCCAAACACAGGTTGCCAATGGCTGAAAACTCTGCTTTCTTTGTCAAACGGTCAGATTTCAAATCATGTGGACAAATAAAGCAGAAAGAGAAATGCTTCCTTTGCCCGCACAGTTTGAAACTCTGCAGGCAAAGGAACATTTGTACTTTGCAGACCAGCTTGAATTTAAGATGGCATGAAAATACTTCACACAACACCATGGCCATGTCAGCTGGTCAGCCCTGCCCTCTATCATAGGGGCCCACAACTACTTTTCCGCAGACAGGGCTTACTGAGACATATACATGCTTCTATAAACATATTTCCACTTCAAAACTATAGTTTTATTCCCATGAAATCTTGCACAGTTTAAAAGCTAAAGGATTAATTGATTCATATTTTCTGAATCAGTTCTACAGCCCTAAAAGTTGCTACTCAAGAAAACACACATACTAGTAAATGACAGTGCATCTATCCTCATGATTTAATGTTTCCATGTTAGGTAAGGAAATTAAATACTCAGGTTCCTAGGTGGCTGTGCCATACAACAGCATGCTCCTATAATGTACTTTTAGGAATTGCCTCTAAAGATGTAAGCAAACATTACTTACATAAACACTGTGAAAATTTCTTTAAAACTATATGAAAGTTACTGAACCATAGAGGACTAGGTCATTAAATACTTACGGTAATTTGAGTATCATTATTTAAAAATGGAGAATGATGGCTAGAATGGCAGAATACTGGAATGCTCCTCAAACCCAATTTCTTCCATTTCTGCCTTGTAACCAAAGAAATCTAGTTGCACTTATTCTTGACCATGATTCACTCAGCCAGAAGCCAAGATGTACCTCAATAATTCTCTGCTTACCTTCAACTAGGATAATTTGAATGTTCATGCTGGTGTTGTGCAGGGGATAGATTGCATATGTGGCAAATGATTTTTGTAGATTAACATATCTGGTGTGGTGGTGATGTTTTTCAATTGAGAGGTTTGCTGAAAATTGCAATACATTGAATTTTGGCATTCCACTTCCAAGACTTTTTACGTAGGAAACAAACTAAATAAACAACAACTGGTCATGTAGCACGTTAAAGATTAACAATTTTACAATGGCATGAAGCTTATGCCATAATAAAGCTGGCTATTTATTTTGCCTTAATAAAATTGTTAGCCTTTAACGTGTCACTAGACTCTCTGCTGTTAACAGACTGGTACTTCTCTGGAAATGCAATTTAAAAAAACTGCCTGCTCTCAAAGCCATACCTTGCGCTTTGTGCCACCTTTTGCTTGCTTCCCACTTTTTGTGTCCAAAACCAGCTCTTCAATATTTGGTTTAAACTGCTGCAGCAGAACTGCAGTGGCAGGGCTGTCATCTCCTTCAGCATAGCTCACAGAAAGAAAGTAGTATTTGTATTCCAGTTGTGTGGGGTTGTTGGGAACGTCAACCATCTCTACTACCTAAATCGTTTAAAAAATTACATTGGGAGCTTGAGAATTTTCACAGATTTAAGAACTCTGTCATTGCAGAAAGCAAAAAACAAGTTTGCAACAAGAAATCCTGAACTCTCATAATGAACACACAGTTCACATGTTTAAACATTCTAGCGAACACAATTTGGGTATATGCATGAACACGGCCAAGATCAAACTACAGTTTATAGAACAGTTTATAGAAACTGTTTATAGAAACAATGACTTTTAGAAAAAAATTCCAATCAAATGGGGGTGGGGTGGGGAATTGAAGCAGACCTTATTGTAAATGAATGACTTGGGTAAATTATACGCAACTAGGTCTGCATATCAAACAGGAGTTAAGAATTGCATTTCCTGAACTACCCACCACAAATACTTCATAATGAAGTGCTTTTGAAATGGAGGTACATTACAAAAGCTAATTGTGATATGAGGGAAGCTGAGAGATTTGTTGCTCATAAATAAATACAAACAGAAAAAACCTACTTCGACTATACAAGCACTCGTATGACCAAAAAAAGCCCTCTATGTATTGCCACCAATTACAACTCTTTAAATTTGCCTAGCTTCCCACCTCTTTGATCCACACCTGATCCAGCCCCAAAGCAGCCTACTCACTAGTCATTCTGCCAAATTTTAATCATACATGCCTGTAGTTTTACTCAACATTTTTGTTAGTTGTAAGAAATAGATTCCAAACTTTCACCTTTTTTATTTCGCATGAAGCATTTTTATAAAAGAAAGTTTCATTTTAAAATTTGTGTACTTCCTTACTACATTGCTGGACTCAACAATATGTGCAATACGTAATTTTGTCAAAAACAGTGTCCCCAAATTAAAATATAGAAGTTTGCCATTGCCAGTGTTAAATTAAATTCCCAACTGCTAGTTTGCAATGTTCTGGCAATTCAAAGTGGTAAAAATCAAAGCAGTAGTCACAGCTTAGCCTATTACATTTTGCTTCCTTCATTCTAAGGGTCCAGTTCATAAGAAGATTCCACATTCACTTACAATGTAGTACTGTGGAAGTCGGGTGAGCTTGATGAAGAGTTTGTGATTGGAGAGATTTCCCACAGGGTGCATAGCGTAATTAGCTAGCTGCAGTGTTTCGCTGCTGACTGTAGGCAAATGTTTTATTGATTGTTTGCAACGCTGCTGTCCAAGCCAAAACCTTAATTGAAAAAAAAGAACATACAAAAACATTGGCACTTCTGCATTAGATAGAGTGTAGCATTGCTAATTTGCCTTCTAGACTGCTTTTGACCTCATTGCAATCATGCAGAACAGAACAGGACTTGCATTAAAAAAAAAGTTGTTCTCACAGGGCTACTATACAAATTCTGGGTTTTTTGGGTGCACATCTAAAATACTTTACATGTGTACTTCAAAAGGAAGATGTGAAGATGGCAGACATGTTTATGTACCTTATACACACACACTTGACATTTGCATAAGATCAGTTGCAGCTGCCTGGTAACTGTACATATGGTAGAAAACCCATGTTTACTGACTCATAACTATAGGAATGGAGGTTTTTACATGTGTATTCACAACACAAACCCAACATTAGCAAGTCTTATGAGATTTTGCTTGTATATAGGACTGTCCCATTTGGGGACTTGCAAGTTACACAAATACAATTCTTATTTGGGATAATTTATATGGTACTTAATATATAGTAGGGATGTTAGTGCCTACCAAAAGTAGCTTGCAATCTGCTTTTGTTTTTGCTTTTAAATGTCCAATTGCTTCTCTCCTTGGTATAAAATATCACATAGTAATTGAGTTATTTATCAACTGTGGGCACCAGTTGGTAATAAAATTATTAACTAATATGTTCACAAACAAACCTAAATATTTTAAACAAGGGATTCTAGCATGAACACTGTTCTTTTGCTCTGTTGCATCTGTAAATAAAGTTACTGGAAGTAAATAAGGACATTTTTAGAGAGCCTTCCACTTTCAAAGCCACATTGCTGCAATATTTTAAATTTTAACAGCTTTGCCAAAATGGCAACTAGGTTCACAAGTCTGTAAGAACCTTACTGGACCAGATCTAAAGTTTTATCTAACCAATGGCTAACCAGATGCCTCTGTGAAGGCCACAAGCAGAACTTGAGAACTGCTGTTCTCTCCAGCTGCTGTTCCCCAGCGACCGATATTCAGAGGCATCCCTGGAGGAAGTATATACCCATCATGACTAATAACCATTGACAGCCTTAACCTCTACGAATTTACCTATTTCTCTTTCAAAGCCCAAGTTGGTGGCTCATTGCCACATTCTGTGGTAGCAAATACAAATTAGTCTTTTGCTTTAGTGTGTGCATCACTTCACAGTAAATCATATTTGACCTTTTTTACCCATCCCCCCCCCATTTTGGTGATGTTAATGTTATCTTGACCATCTCATCCAACACTTACGAACAAGTTAAAAAGCCAAAGTCCCAATACAGAACTTTGGAGTGCCCCATATCTTACACCCCTCTACCACAAGAACTGTCCATTTATTCTTACTCGCTGCTTCCTGTTAAGAGGACCAGTCCTATTATCTCATGACTAAATTCTCTCAGGAGCCTCTTGTGAGGGACTTTATTTAGATTTTCAAAAAGCTTTTGACAATGTCTACTAGATTACCCCTTCACCACACATTTGTTGGCACTCTTGAAAAATTCTAAAGAGCTTAGTGATACACAGCTTACAAAGTGATTTTATTTGCCCCCTTGACCAAACTTTTTAATGGGAAGTTTTTAATGACTGATGTTTAAATGTATTTTTAATCTTTTGTTGGAAGCTGCCCAGTGGCTGGGGAAACTCAACCAGATGGGTGGGGTATAAATAAATAATAAATTTTATTATTATTATTAGCTACTAACTAGCTACTAATCAGTCTGCCTTCTTGCTACTCAGAGCAAGAAGGCAGACTGATTTGAGGAGAAGGGAGATGGGAAGGGAGATAAAGTCACAGTAAAGGCAAGTGAAGTCAGTAAAGTCAGTGGAGTCGAGGGGACTATAATTAGAGTATAATCACATTGAATGGTTTACCAGTTTCTTGTAAGATCAGCAAGTTTGCAACAATGTCTTTTGCAATTAACAATAAAAAGAAGGGAAACTGGCATAGAGTTTAAAGGACAACAACCTTCTACATAAATATCTTACCCTGAGTAAGGGAAGGGGAAGAAGTTTAGTTTTCAAAAATAGTTTCTGGAAGTGAGTGTTATTTTCACAGTTCTGGAGGCAAAGAATAGGCATAGCACCAACAGGAATAGCTACATATTACTCACTTGAGCTGCTGGAGCCATGTAATGATGCGTTTCATGTCATCATTGACCGATTTCTCTATGTCATCCAGCGTTTGCTGGTCTGCAGGGAAACAGGATTAGTTACTACTCAAATGTGGCATTTTCTGCATTTATCCAGAACAATGAAATCCAGAGTGGTAAGTCAAAGCACACGCATAGGTTTATGGTGCTTTAAAAATCAAACCACCCTCTGCAAGAAGTGCCATAAAAGACAGTTCAACATGCAATTTCAGTGCACACGCGCGCACACACTCACACAGGCCCCATTCAGGCAGTTGTGTCTCACCTTACTAAGCCAAGATACAAATAACCTTTTCATTAATGCACATAGTCCCTTTGCAGTCCTCTATAAGCCAGAACATTCCTAGTGAACCACAGTTTCCCGTTTTGTCCTAACCAGGAAACCATGATTAAAAGCTTCAGAGCAAGCCAGGATCTTGTCCCAAAGCTTGTAACCAAGTAAGTTTTGTTTTGCACCTGAAGCAGTAAACTACAGTTAATTAGGGACTTTGTGGCTTATCAAACTGTGCGATGAAGGAAGGAGCAAAAGGCTTATGCATTTCTCAGCTCACTGAAATCAGGTCACTTGCAAAATACATTCTACAAATTCACCATACTCTTTTCAGCTTCAGTTAAGCTGCTAGCCATAACTACTTCCTTTGTTGGGCAGCTTAAAACATCACACTGCACTGTGCTTTAAGTAAGCTGCATGTTAATTCACTGAATACAATGTTAATCTATATTCACCTCTACTCCTGCATCCTTACCAACCAGCCAGCCAACCAGAAGATTCAATTTTCATTTTTTGCATCAAGGCCAAAAATAGAGTGTTGAATTCTACTAAGGAAGGTATTAGAAGGAAGCACCTGAAAGTTTTATTTACATACCAATCCCATAAAGCATTAGTTGAAACATTCCAGAATGAAGGTCTACAAAAATGTGTAGACATTCGGATCGACCACATGGCTCCAGAATAGGGATGACAAGTGTGGGGAGAGCCGTTTCTATAAAAGCTAAAATTAAAGAATCAAGAATTCATAAATCAAGGTACAAAGTTTTACTTGATTAAGCAATGTAGAGACTTCAGAGTAATAAAACGGAACTAAAAAAGCCTTCACAGCCCCATCATAAATAAAGTACTTTTGAATCAAAGCTATTTTATTCAATTAAGATTATGGTGAGCACAAAAAAATGACCATTTGTTTAAAGGTATGCTATTCTTGCTAACTTTGCCCTTTTCCTTGGCAGCTTGTTTGGATATATAATACCCTTGTTCACTAACTTGAATGTACACTAATTAATAAATTTCAAAGATAACAAAAAGCCAGCTGCTTTTTCCCATATAAGGCACCATACACCCATTCCCACCAACCCCAAAATCACAATTATGCAGCTCTCATTTTGAGATTTCAGGACCTGGGTGAGGGATTGGAAGGAGAGAGTTTGCTATATCAAAGTATGAAGGGGAATCCCCCCTATGTGTCTCCTATGACCTGCAATCTAAAAAAGCATTCATGGAAGACAGTTGGTTGAAAAAGACTTTCTCACCCCCTCTTACCTATACCTACCCAAGCCCCCTGAAAAACCTTTCATGAAGGTCAAGAACCCTTCTGAACAGGGCAGACAATGAGACAGGAAGAGTTTTTCAATATCAGGCACAGGCAAGTTGTGTTTAAGAAGCTAAAATGCAAGTCAAATGAAATACGAAAATTTCCAAACCCCATCCTCACTGATCATTTAAGTAGAGCTTAAAAAGCGACAAAATCAATTCCAAAGGAAAGCACTAGTTATACATATCATTATAGTTGCCTCACAGAAATAAGAAAATGTTTGCCATTCATTTCTTTCTCAAGTTTTGTCACTCTCCTAGGGGATGCTCAAGGCAATGAAGGACCAAAGGAAGCATTCAGTTCAAAGTGCATTAAACAACTTTGGTTAGGTTAGGCAGAGGCAGGCTAGCAGAGGAATTTCTGGTTTTGAAGAAAGTTAATAAAGGGCACATAAAAATGTAGAACAACATCCCCTCCCTCCCCCACCCAATTCAATGTAGTTCAGATACCATCACTTACAATTGTCATTGACATTATAATTCTTAAGAATGGCTTTCAATTCCTGGAGTTTCTGATGAGCTCTTGCGTGGACACTGTCTATCAGAAGCTTCTCTACTGATAGGTGGTCTATCTATATAAAAAAAGAAAGAAAAAGCAGTTATTCTGTATTTTATATGTACTATAAAAAGGTTCACAGTTAAAAACTATGTGTTTTGAGCTGCTCAGGCAAACTTCCCATACTGGCCTTGTTTCACAAAAATCAGCAGCATGTTGGATTTAAGAACTTTAAAAAGGGTTAGACTTTAGAAAGTTATTCTTAAATCCAGCATGTTGATTTCTATACAACAAGACCACATGAAGGAAGTATCTCTGCAGCCTGGTTAGTGAAGCAACAATGCCTTTCCATCACAGACAACTAGAGTCCTTTTCTGAAACTCCAAACAGGAAATGAACTTTGTGATTTGGAACCCTAGCCTGCCATCCCCCAGTTTCCAACACGACAAAGATCAAAGTAATAAGGCTCTTCAAAACTGATCAGCTATTTATAATTTACTTAACTACCCACAGGCTTACCAAACGACTGCAATCTTTACTGCAATCAGGTTTTGAAAAAAATGGGCTGAGATGGGGAAAGTGCTAAGTTGATTCATGTGCAGTCCAGCCAAGTGGCAATTTGCATGCAAACCCCTCCTCCTGCTCCTCTCTGTGATCCCCTCAGAGAGTCCACAATCTTCACTGCTCACAGCAATGGCCCAAAGCTCATCTAACTTGCGGTAGGTGGGGGGTTTTTTTTTTGGGTTTTTTTAAAGAAGAAAGGTACTCTGGCCTTTGTCTCAAGTTAGCCTTCCTGGATTCAGACAATTGATTTGTAACATATGCCTCCCACCCAACATACCTTTTGGGTTTCAGTCACTTAGGAGGTGGCGGCAAGATTGTAAAAGGAATGTTTAAGCACTGTTTGGACTCCATGGGATGGACCCAAGTCAGAAATGGGGCTGGGGGCCAATTTTTGACAGGTGGATGACCCACCCACCTGTCAATCACATATCATTATGACATCAAATGACTGGGATATAACCCAAACACAATACATTGCTTAAGAGAGATTTATTTTAAAAACAATGATCGATTAAAATTATATGCCAACTTCACCTGGCAATATTTACCTTCATAGCCCTTTCAATTAGTTTGGAATCACAGGCTGGAAGGGGAGGTTCATGGGAAATTTGCAAAGGTTTTGATACATCATTCTCATCTATCTTAATGGTGACCTTATGAAGAGATGCAGTTCCTGTTTTTCTCCCAACCACCTGTTGGCTTAATACAGAAATGTTGTGTTAGCTGATAAAGAAGCCGAAAGACTCCCTCTGTAGAATACTGAAACACATGAATAATATTTACAGTTTCATACCATGAAACAATACCATACAATTGTGTTGTGCCAAGAAGTTTAGCGCCCTATTCCTGTATCAAGTCTCTAAAGAACCACTATCAAACTCCTCTCACAGATACACAACCATCACCTATAGCAGCCTATGAATCACTACAATTTGCTGCTTCAAATTCTTGAAAGCTTTGTTTTTCATGTGGGATCCAATATAAAGCCTAACTTAAGATGCCATCTCAATCTAGACAATCACCATTGTCTACTTCTTTCTTCTGCTGCACCTGAAAATGTTATTTGGGGAGGCTCAGCTGATGCCAACTCTGACTTCCAGCACAACCCCTTATTATTTTCCCATGCCTCTTAACTTTTGTTGAGACTACGTTAATGCTATGTTTTATCTGTGTTTCATCCTTGTGCAATTTTTTTTATTTAATTTGGAATACATCCTGGGAATATTTACTGTTTTGACTATGTGTTTCAGATGGATAGTGCTTGAAATACTGCGATGGCTTTATCTATAAAGCAAAACTTGACTGAGTGAGCATGCAAAAAACAGCCTAAACGCGTTGTTTTAAGGTACCATTAAATATAAACAAGACGTTAATCTTAACTGCAAATATTTTGGCTGCAACATATGTTATGATAATTAATAACATTATTGGACCAATAGCCTTATCAAAGGCCAGAAATGATCATCATAAATGTCTATATTCCAAAAACCAATTATGCATTATTTGTCTGACACTAATATAACCCCTCTAAACCCAAAAGATCAGCAATTCCTATGCTTCAGTAAAAGGCAATTAATATAATATGGCATCTAAATATGCTAGTACTGTATAGAAGTTTCCAAGCTTTACTTGAGATTTAATATTTCAATCGAACATTTACAGATCTCATGAATTTTTTCACTTACTTCCAGACAGAAAGAGAGAGGCATTTGCCCGCATGGTATCTTTCCACTTGCACAAGATCACCCCAGCGCTCTCGAACCAGCATTAAAGTCTGTGAATGCAAAACTTCCAACTGCAGTGACAAGCAGAAGGAGTCTAAAGAATTCAGGTTAAGTAAATGCAGTAAAATATTGGAGGAACTTTTGATAGTTCTCAACTTACACTAAACCAAAGACTTGCTGGCCTTTGTACACACTCATATACATGGTAAGTCAACACTGGTCTTGTTAAGCAGATTTTAAAGCAATTCTTGACAGTCACACCAGGGAACGGTTTCTTGTGTGGAATCTCTCTCCCTCCAAGCCCTCCCCCCCCCCCATATAATCAAACAGGATCTACTGTAGAATATCCAAGGGTTTAGGTCTGTAGGCCACCAGCATGCTAAAGCTAAGCAGCTCTGGTTAGTGCCTGGATAGTGATTACTTGGGAACTATATGTATGGTGTCTTGGGTTCAATGACAAAATGCTGTCATTCTGTAATATGTATGTTCCATCCACACCAAGCAACTTACATATTAAGATGAGATGCTATACTTAGAATAAATGTGTTCAATCTAGGCCTTCTTTTCCAAATTACTTACTTTACCTCCCAAACATATCTAAAAAGTATTAACACATTATTCATGTGACAGTTATATGTATGCTTTCCCAACTGTGTTTGGCACATGTGGTTTCCATAAGTTGAAGATTTCTCCCTAGCCTAGCCTTTTATGTTGTTAATAAGTGCAGGTGGCACTGTGGGTTAAACCACAGAGCCTAGGGCTTGCCGATCAGAAGGTCGGCAGTTCGAATTCCCATGATGGGGTGAGCTCCTGTTGCTCAGTCCCTGCTCCTGCCAACCTAGCAGTTCAAAAGCACATCAAAGTGCAAGTAGATAAATAGGTACTGCTCCGGTGGGAAGGTAAACGGCGTTTCTGTGCGCTGCTCTGGTTCGCCAGAAGTGACTTAGGCATGCTGGCCACATGACCTGGAAGCTGTCTGCGGACAAACGCCAGCTCCCTCGACCTATAGAGCGAGATGAGCGCCGCAACCCCAGAGTCATCCACGACTGGACCTAATGGTCAGGGGTCCATTTACCTTTAAGCTTACAGTGATCATTACACCATACTGAGGACACCCAATGCCAACCTCCCTACCCCAGCTCAATAGCTACTCAGGTTACCAGGAACACCAAGTAATAATCTCTTGTATTTAGTACAGAATACAACCAAAATCTCAAAGTTCGAGCAGGGAGAAAGGATAGTGCTCACTCTTCCCTTCCACCCTACTTCCCCTGTTCCCCAGGACTAAGGAAAGAAACGGACTAATGTTTGCTTCCCTTTCCCACTATCAAGTCAGAAGGCACCATCAGTGTTCTCAGCATTGGCAGATAGAAGGATTCTAGCACCCAGGTGAAGAAAAAGCATTTTGATTGGGTTTAGATCCAAAAAACACAGAATCTGCTACATAGAAAAGGACACCAAGCAGCAAAACCAGGCAGCACAAATTGGTATGATTCCAAAGGCACTTCAAACAATTCTTCCCAATGAAGTGGAAGAAATCATATTCCTTAATAAAAACTGCTTGGGAGGAAAAATCATGCAAAGTCATCTTCATCAAAAGAAAAGGGTTTTTAAAAATCCTTTACTAAAGAATACTTTGAAATGCAATAGGAATACTACCAACATGTGCAGCTGTCATTGTGTTTTGTAACTCATTTATGGCCCTGCTCTAACTGAAGGTGTTCCAGATCCTTCTGTGTGAGGAAAAAGAGGGAGAAAGAGACTAACAAGCAGTAGCAGATCAGGGCCTAAGGAACAGCTGCAGCTTCATGTTAGCAATTTCACTCCTCCGATGCTGCAGATGAGATTGTTGTAAATCACATGCCTGTCTTGGATGAGTCTGGGAAAGGAAGACAAGTCTTATCTCTTCCACTGCGGGTACTATTACACTGTACTTTCGCTTTCATTTTTTTTCCTGTTTTGTTCTCTTGGAGCTGGAGAGAACAGAAGCCATTATGCTTTTGTCTGTACATAGTGTGTAAATAAATAGTAGATTAGCTCCTATGTCTAACGCTTCTTGCTGTGTTATGCCAGAAGCTTAGTGTGCATATATCATTATGATGTATGTTGCTAGAAGCACACTGGAAGAGAAGGGAGATGCCTTTTCGAGAGCTGCACATAACGGAGGATGTTCAGAGTTCCGGGGGCTTGCAGGCACCCCCAGGGTGTTTTTCCAACACATAAGTATATCTACAATCTACTGAGTCAACTACCCAAACAATCCTTACCATCTAAAAATATACTTACCCTGCATTTCACATCTCAGATTGGGAGCTAGTTCTATGGGTTCACAAAAAGTCATTGAAAAGGATACGTAGGCAGTTGTACATGTCCTGCAGAGGTTTCTCATCAGCAAAGAGCCGGGACTGGACCAACTGATGGATGAAGCTGATCTGCATACTGTGAACTAAAGCTCGACCATCTTCCATTAAAAGAAAAGAAAATGAATCTTTTGTGTTTTTTATGAATCTTTAAGATGATGTAACACTACTTAAAAGGTTTATTAAAAGCCTCAAACAATAGTGGAAAGTATAAAGTATTAATGCTTGGAGAGTGGCTTCTGATGCAATGTTCCCTTTGAGAACACGCAGCTGGGGATACAGAGTAACATGCTGAAGAGCAGACACCATCAACATTTAAGATGGCATGGTTGAAAACAGCTCAATTTACTTTAATAGAAGAGGTTAATGGAGTGTATCAGTTTAGATGAGTGCCCCAAGTCATAAGCATTAGATCTATCATAATGCCTATGGGCATTACCTCCAGTCTCTTTATCTTCAACCAGAATTTCCAGTTTGAGAAGACGCCATGGGACATCAGGATCATCTCCCATCACTGTCAAAGTAGCCTCAAATTCACCCTCAACACGAAACTTCACACGACCATTAGCTAGAAACAGAAACCATACATAGTGCGAAACAAAGCATAAGCAAAATAAAACTCCAGTTTGTTTGTTTTAAAAAACAACAAGGGGGGGGGGATATGGAAAAGATTCCCTTTCCTCTAGCAATAATGACTCCTCTTTCTGGTAGTTTTGAGTTTCAGACATTCCTTTTAAGTTACTCTCAATAAATCTTTATTACACATTTTAATTAGCTGAGAGTAATCCATCTGTCATGGATCCTTTAGCTGAGATTCCTGCATTGTAGGGGGTTGGACTAGATGACCCTTGGGTCCCTTCCAACTCTAAAATTCTATGATTCTATGAACTAAAGGAGTGAAGGGATCAGTGCAATGGCTTACCAACTGTAAGATTTGCCAGCTGTGGAGGAAGATCTGTTGTCACCAGTCGGTGGCGAAGAATCTGGTTTAACTGATGGAGCGTTGTTTGTTTCTCAACTTTTGTTATTGGATCAGGAGGAATTATTTTGTCCTGTAAAGTTACAAATGTGCATTTTTACATACTAATTTAAGTTATCCCGAATTCATTTAACCATTTTGTAAACATGAATAAACTGCAAGGACAAACCTCATCATCCATGTTATAGATCCACAACGGCCTGGGCTCATGCAAAGGACTTACTACGGTTTCATGGATTTTTTTTTTACTTTTTTCTTTTAAAAGTTGAGTCTCACAAAATATCATCCGCTTTTATAAGTGAAGGTACAAATTTTGTGGCCTTCACAACGCAACACACAAGATAGTTTGGCCTTTGCTGTTGTTAAAATAAACAATAGTGGAAATGACTTGAGCCTTTGACAGAAAAGGACTAGATAGAGGGGGAAAGAAGGCTCTCATAATGGGTGTAGGGTTCTCATAATGGGTAAGTTAACACAGCAAATCAAAACCCAGAAAAGGAAACATGAAATAAACCACATCATGGAAACCTGGTGGCCCTTGCTTATTTACTTGGAACCAAGCCCTGTTTACAGGGATAAGCCAAACAAACAAACAAACAAACAATGTCTTAAATATATCTATCTGTACCAAAGAAACCTGCTAATTTTAGCCTTTAAACAGTGAGCAGTAGGGCAAGGGCCATATTTTTTAATCATGACTCTAAAATGTTCAAAATAAAAAGTTTTTTTTTAAATATACCAGTGATTAAAAGAATCTTATTTGGTGATGATTCAGCCAACTAAGGTGTCTTAGGCCAGTGAGAAGTATTTGGCATCAGTTATCTCAGACATAAGCCTTTTATCCAATGCAACAAGGCTGCGAGGAAAAAGCTCCTGCTGAAAGCAAACTGGGACAGAGGTCTAAGTCTTTTGTTGTTTTTACATTATACAGCAATTTACCCGTATACATGTTGGTAGCCGTGGATATGACCCAGTTGTCAGTACATCAATAGCATATGGAATAGCAAAGCTGGGCAGACGAGCATGGACCAAAGCATCTCTGGCTAGTGATGCTAAACGATCAGCAGTGTCCACGAACAGAATAGCTTGTTGATCAAGAAAGCTTGATATCATCTGTAATATATATAATATAATATAAATATAAATTAATTTAAAATTATTTACCCACATCTAAACTCCTCCATAAAAGCCAACTATATACCTCCTGTTCAAAATGTCAAAGTCTTTGGTGGAATAAACATTGCAGCTGATCTGTGAAATAAATTGTGATGTAAACTGCCCTGTGATCTTCAGATGAAGGGCAGTAAACAAATATAATAAATAAATAATAAAAGGTAAAGTAAACTTTTCAAAAATATATTATCATACTATAGACCCTTTCAAAGACCTAAAGCTGCCAGGAGGACAAGAGCATGCCTTTAAGAGGCAATTTGGAAATTATAGCTCTGGAAGTAGCCCTAAAAGAAAACCAAGGGAAGAGAAGACCAAAAAGGAAAAAAGAGCGTGTGTGTGGTGCTCTTGTTATATGGCCTAAAGAACACCCTTATACATATACAGTGGTACCTGTGGATACGCACACCTCTGGTGCGTATCCTTCAGGATGTGAACGTGCCAAAGCCGGAAGTATTTTTTAGAGTTTCGTTGCAGGCGCACACGCAAAAGCGCTCTACGCGCCAAGCGCAGAAGTGCTCTACCGCACTGCACGTATGCGCAGAAGCGGCACCTCCAGTTGCAAATTCCTCGGGATCCAACCGGAGCTCCAGAACGGATCCTATGCGCAATCGGAGGTACCACTGTAGACTGATTTATCCAAGAAATACATACAGCAGTGTCATACAGTGGGAAAGATAACAAGCCCACTGTTCAAGACAGTCAGAATGACAAGAAATGTAACACTGGGACCACCCTGACCTGTGTCCAAAGGAAACAGACTAACTACTGGCAAAAATTCAGTTTACCTACATGAAGTGCTTTCTGATTACTAAGAGCCAGTGACAGCTCAGCTGGGCAAGGTGTTGGGAGAAGAAATAGGGGTGGGGGCAGAGTATGAAACCAGGCAGAAGGCTAGAGAGAAGCTGAGGTCAGGAAGAAAAGCCTGACCAGGCCAAAATCTTTGCACAATATATAAACTGCTAACCTAAAACTAGAAAAGCCTAAGAAATCATGGCAAAGCTCCAAACATCACTTAGGAGCATGTATTCACTTTAAATGACTTATTTCTCTTTATTGTTACAGTAACACCTTAAAGGTACATAAAATTAAGCAAGGATCTTGGACAGGAACAATTTCTGCAAATATGATGCCAATAGTATTACATGCACCATACTGAAACATTTCCCAATAATGGGGGCATGTCAACATTTAATATAAATCTACATCATGATACAGAATTTTGTTTAGCTGTCATTTGTTATTCTACATTAGTTTGTAACTAACTGCAGAACTACATTCTGAAAACAGAAGATTTTGCTATATCAAAGATCAGGAATAAAACCACGAACAGGCTATTTTTCAGATGTTTCTAGTCCACCCAGCTGTAGGCAAGTTTTCCAAGAGACAATCATTCACTGCATCTTAAAAAAAATGAAATCATAACTTTTTTACCAAAAATAATTTTGAAATTTATGACCACTATATTTGAACATGTGGAATGTCAGTAACTATTCCCTCAATGCTTTATGGATGGTTCCTCCTCCGCTTTTATGATCTTATTGTCTAAATTATGCCAATAAAGGCTGAATGAATGAATGACCCATTTTCTCAATTTTCTCAGCTGGGTGAAGTACAGAAGCCATCCCTTGCCTCTGTAAATTTCAGCTGAGAGCTAATGAATAGTATCAAACTTACCGCACATTTTTCCACCTTTCCAGCGTTATTTGCCCACTTTACCAAGGCTAACAATCGGACAAACAGCTGCCGTGTGCGACTTGCAAACTGCACTATTTCTATTTTTCTGTAAAGAAGCAAATTGCATTAGAAAATCTGTAGTTCAATTATTTTGAAAAAAGCAGCACATGAAAGGGGGAATCAGATATGCCAATAATTATTCCAGATGCAGAATGAGATACTAGACTAGCATTGCAATCGGACACATTAGATAACTCTTTTTGGCCAAAAGTCTGCATTCACTCTCGGTGAACCCTCTAGGGGCTGCCTGCACACTCTTATACACACTCTCACATGAACACAACCCCTTTACTTTACTTTATTACCGCTTCCAATTTTTTAATTGATTGATTTATTGTACTTCTGTGCTGGTGCTCTACAATTTTCTTCCTTTCCTTTCCTTTCCTTTCCTTTCCTTTTTTTGGGGGGAGGGGCTTTACTTCCCCCTGCTCCCACCTCACAATGCAGCACACTGCACTTCATTATGCCAATGCTGGCATAGCTAGGGCTCCATTCTATTTAGGGGGGAAAGGGGGTTTCAAGGGAACAAGGGCATTTATGATTCTACTGCCCCCAACATGCCCTGTTTCCCTTGCTCACTGCTGGTAGTATACATGAAACTTGACCGTCTCATGTATATATGCTCAACTTTGTTGAAGGAACTCTCATAGATTATCAAACTAGTTCCAAAGCAATTATCTGTTTTGCATGCGATCCAACTGGGTATTACACGCCCAGTAATAAAGCCATCATATGGGGCTAGTTATTGGCACTAGCCCCATAGTTAGTTGCGTACAGATGCTACATATTACTAGTATATATTTTTTAGTTTTAGCCCACTTATTGTTCAATATAAATGCACAACATGACACTGCAAGTTTTAAATATTAATAGTCTGCTTTCTAAGTTTTATGTCTTATATGTGGAAAACATGACATTTAAACTGCTGGCTTTCTGCTGACTTTGATTTGTAGAATTTCAGGAAAGGTCATTATTTATTATGTCAAAAAAACAACAACGGAGGTTTTGGCTGCAAGAAACATGTCAATCTCATGATTAAACTTGCGAACATAAGAGCCCTGTTGAGACCAACGGCCTATCAGATTCAGCCTGCCATTCACAGCAACCAACCAGAGGCCTATGGGAAGCCCACAAGCAGGATTACTATATAGCCATAATGACTAACAGTTATTGGTGGCCTGATCCTCCAAGAGTCCTCCATGTGTCCTTGCTTTGTCTGCCCCTCTGGACAGTGTCCTATGCAACAACCACTATTCTTGCTCCTTCTCATGCATGGGGCTTACAGCAAGGCTCTCAAACCAGCTTCTTAAGAGGTCTCCCAGACCACTTCAATATTGGTATTTTAGTAGAAAATAAATTATTTCCCCCTCTTTTCTATTGTCCTTTAAGTAGTTTAATTGTGTGCAGTTGCCTTCCATTTTGTTGACACTGCTTTTGTAATGTCTGAGCTATCTAATTTTATTGATTATAGATTGCCAAGCTTTAAAAACAACAACAACAACAACAACAACTGGAGGCCAATTAACTAATTTTCTCAAATAAAATAGTACATGCAGGAGATTTATGGACTCACTTGCTAGTCAGTTTTACCAGAGCACTGCTGCAAGCATTCATTTTCAATGAAGGACAGCACGCTAGTTAATTAAAACATTCCCTAAAGCAGCCGCACTAAAAAAAGCAGGAAAAACTCTTCAGAGCTGAGTTACAGTCATTGGCAAGTATCAGCAGTGACAGCCTGGAAATTCTGGAGGGACGACTTTGTGTCCTGCCCCAATTTAACCCTATACACCTTCAGGCAAAGGCCAGAACACTGCTACAGGGTTTAACTGTGTGATAAATATCTATGCATTACAAAGCTCACAGTTTTAGAAGAAATCCTCAAAGAATACAAGTGAAGTCGCACAGAGAGCTGCACGACCCAATGCTGACCTAAACTTAACTATGGTTAACATGTCAGACGTACAAGAGATTATGGTTTAGTTTGGCAAAGTTAGTTCTGCCCTCAGCTGATGTGTATAGTGGGACACCAGCAATACCTATTTCTTATCTTATAAGGAGACGCTGGAGAGGTGGATTAATTTTCCTAACCATACTCTGTGCAGATATATCATTGATATACAGTTAATAAAAACCATGGTTTGCAACCCCACGGTTTCACATCATGACCAACATTTAGTATTCAGAAATAATTCTGAAGCAGGATCTGCATGAGGCCATAATTCTACCCATATTCAAACAAGTCGAATATCTCCTATCAACTGCTAACTCTATCTGAAGTGGATAAAACTTATGGGTTCTCTATTTGAAAACCTGACTCCTAATTTGCATTAGAAAACTTTACAGTGCAAACTATCCTAATGTTACATAGGAATTTTTTTTTGAAAACCCACATTACACAAATGTTAATCCTTTACTGGTATAGAGTTTTCCTCTGCAATAGTGTGAAGTCTCATACAACATTTCATAATCCAGTAATCCTGATCTAGAGGAAAGCACAAACCATGGTTTTCTGATTTGAATGCAGTTTAGATCTGTACTACAGAGGAAATTCATCCAGTTAGAGTGCTGGGCAGGGGTGGGAAATAAAACCACAAGGCTCATTCTTCTGGCATCAAATCATGGTTGCCATTACATGTAAACCATCCCAAAATGTTTTGAATTTCAAACTAGGCACTTAATAAAACTGAAACACTATATTATTATTATTATTAACTCAGGTAAAGTTAAAGAAAGGAAATATTTGACCCAGTGATTCAATACCTAAATTTCATTAAAATTTATTACAAATCCTCCTCAATTGTCATTACTCACCTTTCCATATCTGTTTTTCTTGGTAATCTGTTGGGAAGGGGAGTTGGAGTGGTGAAAAAAAAAGATCAAATTATTATGTTTTGACAAATACTACAAAAACATTAAACAGGAAGCATGAGTTAATTTCAGCTCTCTGACAATAGTTCTTGTACAATTCTCAAGTTTTTAAACAATCTTGTAACTCATTCACATTTTACATTTTGGGGTGTACATTTAAATCTTAGGCAGATACCTACAGTGTGTGACTGCAAACTTCTTCACACAGATAATAAACAAATGTCTATCATGTGTCCAAATAACTGAAAACAGATGATGATTTCCCCAAAAGTTTTTCCAACACCAGTGCAAATACAAGTGACTGACATCATAAAGCGTGAACTTGCAGTCATTCAATTTCAGATCTCCATGTCCTGTGTCTTTACTATTACTAACAGCACTGTATTATTGTGATGCTTAAACAAGCTGAGTTACAACACTGACTTTTTTTTAAATTCTGGGAGCATTTATCCACACCACCTTAAGGTAAATAAAAGGGTCTGTTATATTTCCACAAAAGCATTAACAGAAAAAAGATAACAATATCACACTTAAAGTAGATTGAAATATATTTTTGTAGAGGGCCCTATATTGCTAGTGCTATGAATCACAAACGAGTTAAGGTGGAGTAAACATATTTTGAACCCATTTAGCCCCATTGAAAGTAATGCAGCTTAACTAAAATGCAAATAAGTTTGAAAAGATTTGCAGATATGACTATAGGTCTAATTTATATGGAGATGCATATGTAAAAAAAGGAATTGGTTTATCCTGATTTTCACAGCCAAGAACCTAATTGAGCATATTCCTGAAAGAGACTAAATAAGTAGTTGATGTGAATATATTAAAGCTATTAACTTCAATAAGGCTATTTATTATTTAAAAATCTCATCCAACCAACCTTCTATTCATTACCTGGGCTGTTACTTACAAGAAATACTCCAGAGACCACACAGAGGGTCTGCTGCTTTGTCCATCATTTACAATATTTGAGATTCCAGCATTGCAGGGAGTTGGACTAGAAGACCCTTGGGGTCCCTTCCAACTCTACAATTCTATGGTTCCATGAATAGCTTGTTGCAAAGATGTAGCCACAACGGGAAGTGATTTTAAAAGGCCACAATAAAGCAACCACAGAAGTTCCAGCTATGTGACAGGAGATTGTAGAAACTTCATGAAAAGTATAAATACAATTTCTTTTTAAAAACCTGTTTAATACAAAGACAGCAAAGGCCTTGCTGCAATCTAGACACATAGGTTGCTTCCAACGGTATCTGTCCCTCAATAGTCTACACACGAACAGCTTTCACGGGACCAAAATGGTCTGTACCATCCAGATGACTTACAGTGAAAAGAGGCTACCCTTCAAACTAAAATACAGCATCCAGCTGGGAGCACAGCACCCTTGTCACCTACACCCTAGTGTGCATGCACATGAAAGTTCATACCAATAACAAACTTAGTTGGTCTCTAAGGTGCTACTGGAAGGAATTTTTTTATTCAGTATTTCCAATCAAGCAAACACAAGTTTTAGTTTAAGACTTAGCCCTTATCTTCTTGATGCCCTTATTAGGTTTGCCAGCAAACATAAACTCAACCAGGAATCAATTCCAGCTCTTTAACAAATGCACTTGTATGTATGACACTCAAGTTTTTGAACGATTGTTTAACTCTATTCACCCTTTACATTTTGGGGTGTACATATGACTCTTAGGCAGGTCACCTAAGAGTCACAGCGTGCGAAGAGAGTCTGAAGATTCTAACTGAACCAGAAGATCAGGCTTCCCCAAACCACCACCCTCCTTCTCCATCACGTAGAACAAGCCACAAAGGAGGAGGACCTCCTGGGCGAATGGGGAAGAGGCGTTCCATAAGCCAAGGTCGCCTAACACGGGTCCGTCGGAGAGTGAACTGTCTCGCGGGGGGAGGCAAGTGGGCAAGGCAGGCAGGTGGGCAAGCCCCCCCCCCCCCAGGCACTCACAGGTCGGCCAGGACGGTGAGCTCCGCGTAAGTGCGATGCAGCAGGAAATCGATGAGGGTGCTGAGTCGGAAGCCGGCGCTGGCCGCCGCCGCCGCCGTTCCCGGAGGCTGCGGAGCTGGGGCCGAGGTGGGCCCTCCACCCGCCGGGACCAGCTGGTGGCTTTCCAGTTGCACCGGCGCCATCGTTGCCTCGGCGGAAACCGAAACTAGGCGGCCGGCCGAAAAGAGCGGGTCTTCGGCGTCCTTTCCTCGCCCGGCTCGGCTCTCCCTCGCGGGCAAGCAGAAGCAGCCGCGATCACAACGCGCCTCTTCGGCCGCCGAGCGCCGCCGTCGCTGGGGCTGCCGCCACCATTGCTGGGGGCGGACACCGCACCGGAAGCAATCCCAGGACAGCGACGGACCGGAAAGAAACCTCTTCCGGTAACCTGCACGGGATCATAGACTTCCCCCCGTCTCTGCAAGAAGCTTTTTTAGTCACCCATTATTAGACTGACAAAAGGTTCCAAGTTTCCGGGTTCGCTCTGAGCTCGATTTTAGCCTCCCAGGGAGGAAGTCAGAAAGAACCGCTCACAGGAAGCGCTGGCGGAAGCCCAAGTTTTAATGTAGCTGCGTTTGAGCAGCGGTTTGTCCATTAAGCCAACGGTAGTAGCGTTCATTTCAATGAAAGGCGGCGTAGAAATACATTTCATCTTTCTAACATAGCATGACTACCAAGCCCAAGTGGGAGGTGCCTGCCGTGCCCGAAAGTTGCTTAGCAATAGCCCTGTAAGCGCAGATCTTTATTGCAGGCTGAAGATGGACCGAGGTCGTTTTCCGCTTTCCATTCAGAAATGGTATCCATCCCATGCAAAACACTCTCGAGTTAAATTACAGTGTTCAATTAAATTGATTTAAATCGTCGCCCGTTTAAACAAATAATTAAACGTGCGATTTTATTTTTATGTTGCGTCATACTGAGTTATTTTAATGTAGGCGACTTTCGCTATTAACCTAATAGGAAAGTGAGTTATAAACATTAACTAAACCGATCTATCACCCAGCGCACACCTAGCACTGCTTCACGAGTAAGCCTTGACTTGCACGGAGCTGCATTGTGCATTTAGCTGCAATTCCTTATCCACTAAATTGGGATGAAGCCCCATTGAATTTTATAGAGCTTCTGAGTAATAATGAAAATAATGACACTGCTTTATGCTTAAAACTATGGCTTCTACGACTTCATTTCCCACCCGAAATCAAACTTGAATAGCAAGAACATAAGCTCCCGTTTTTTGCTATTATTATTATTATTACTATTTTACGAGACGGAAGAAACTCTAATTTTCTTTTGGCAACTCTCATTTCCTCTCCAGGGAGAAAACAGCGCCAACAGGAACCGGAACTTCCTTCTTCAGGCATCTGAATCACGACTTTACTCTTCAATCTCGATAGTATAGACTCTATGGAAAGCAATGGGGGCGGCCTGGCTTTACCGGCCTTCGTATGTCTGAAGCCCTGGCCAGAGAGGGAGGCGCCGCAGAGTCACAGAGGCCTAAAGCGGGCTGTGCTGCGCGCATTCCTGGCTCGAGAAGAGGTTGCGGCTCCTCCTTTTTTCTCCTGACAGTTCTTGTACCTTCAACAGCTTTCAGAACAGGCTGAAATTCTTCATGCTGACAGGAAGAGAAGCTGCTCCTGCAAATCATGCAACAGTTAAAGACGCTTTGTCAGGAAAAATAACCATATATACTGGTACTGTTTAGGATGCCAGGCTCCAGCTGATCACTTCCATTTTACTCCTGAGTATTTCTATCAGTTTAATGGGCTTGTTCCAGCATAAAACAAGCCATGTCATCTTGCAGTAACAACTAGACCCCTTCAAAAGCAGAAAAAAAATTCATAAATTAACACTTTCCATAGTTTTTTTTTATATTGTGGAATGTGATTTAGAATTGCTTGTAGTGAGTTGGTGTGGTGTAATAGCAAGCATGAAATGGAAATCTCTCATCAGCCCTGGAGTTCGGAAGTTGCCTTAGGCAGCTCATTATCCAGCCTCATCAAACTTGGTACCAGGGCAGTGGGCCAGCATAAAGCATTCCACACTGAGGCAATACCACTGAGTAGCTGCTTTTTCCTGCCACCTCAGCTCAGGTGGCAGGGGGTACACAGAAAAGGGCTTCTGAAAGTAACAATCGGGCAGGTTCATTTGGGAACTGGCAATCCTTCAAAAACTGGATCCAAGTACATGTTTTAAATCTTACTTTTTTCATCTGCATTATTATTATATGTATTAGATTTCTTATCCGCCATTCACTATAGGATCCCAGGATGTGTTACAATGCCAAAAGCAATACAGTTTAAAACAAAACCAACCACTAGTAAAATATTTATCATCATCATCATATTAATTGACAGTTTCAGATAGGTCACAAAACAACAGCCCTATTTCAGATCGGTGACAAACTCTTCACTAAACAGAGAAAGGTCCCTGAGACACCTCAACAGGCGGTCACACTATGTTTGGGGTATCCAGTGACACAGGTGGGCTGTTCTTCTGACAATCCACTTGTTCTTTCCCTTGGATCCAGAGCTCTATGTCCTAAGCCCTAGGACCCTAAGTTCAGACTCCTCCTGGGGTCCTACATTCCTATCCCCTGCCCACTAGAACCTTCTTACAGGCTGATCTCGTCCAGTTCTCTGATCTCCTCCCACTTTTCCTCAACAGTCAACCCCACTCTCTATACTGTCTCTATGAGAGTCTTGGCTCCAGCTCCCATCAGACCTAGCCAACATGACCAATGATCAGGAAAGAGGGAATCTAACAATATCTGGTGGACCACAGATTCACCAACCCTGTACTAATTCCTGTAGTTGCTATTTAAAAGTAAGTAAAATAATATAAACAGAAAATATTCAACATTAATATACAAAATTGGCTAAGGGTTTTAAGCCAAGAAGGGAACTTACTACTTAGAAACTTCTACCTCAATACCACCTTCATTTGTAAAATTATATTAAAGGTTTAATATAAATTTGTAGATGCAAGAAGTCAGAAAAATTTCTAGCGATTTTAAGTGTTAGTTCAACATACCATTATATCTATCTATATCTAGAGAGAGAGATAACCTTATGCTTCCCACTGTAACAATCATTTATTACTAAAAGTGTCTCCCTACATAGTTTGTGCAATGCAATTTAGAATTATTTATAAACATTTTAATATCAAAGAAATGTAGTATAACATGTCACACATTTGGGCCCATTAGTGACAGTATTATTCCCAGTATATTCAGTTTGCTGTCACAAACTATTGGTTTGTCAATTGTTAAGTGATTGTTGTATGTACAATAGAGCATTCTTTACATTAGCAGTAAATTAGTTACCTATTGGTGCCTGTTCAAAATACTGAGAAATTCAGATGCAATTATATTTGAAATGGCAGTTTGAAAAAGAAAATGTCCCCCTCAGAATAGCATTATCATTTACTGGCGGCTGCTGGTGCTATATAAACAGTATAATACTTCTTATCCAATCATTTCAAAGGCTCCCTCCACCAGATTCTAGAAAGAGTCGTGCACATTCTGACTCAAGGATAACATTACAATAGGCAGTCTACATATAATGGAACAGGGGCCGTGGTGGCAGGAGCAGTTAACCATGCTGCAAGGTGGTTTTTGACCAGAGAATATGGGAGTAAACTACAGGCAATAATAGATTTCTTCTTCCATTTTTAACTAGCATAAACTTCAGGTCTCCATCTTTACAGACAAAACCAGTTTTCAGCTCCTGCCTGGGCTGATAGAGGTGACTCATGTTCCAGCATTACTTTTTAATGGCCCAACCAACAATTGCTACCAAGCTTATGAAGACCTGCAGAGGAGGACAAAATAGTTAAAAACATAATATTGTAGTCTGAGTGCTGAGATAATGCCATAGCCCCCAAACAAAAATGTTTCATTCAGGGAGAAAGAGCTGGATCCTAAGAAACAACTACACTTTTATTGTGCTATCAACATGGTGGGGGTATACTTCCTGCCTCTGACTAACACATATTGACACATATTGTTAATATCAGAAACTACTTATAAAACCTTGTTTTCTGGATTAAGGAAGAGCTCGGCTTTGTGAGGAGTAGAAAGTCAATAAAACTTCTTATCAAAAAGGACAATAATATCCTGCTTTTCTTAGTTCATTCCGGAAGAGGCCACATTGCCAAACTTGGGGCCACTTCTAAATGGTGATGCTGTAATAAACAAAAATGATTCTCATGTAGATGAGGATGCAGGGTGTTTTTGTGCTTGCAGGAGCATCTGGTGCAGGTGCTAGTATGACCTCCACCTGCCTGCGTCCTACAGAGGTTAGTAGGAATAAAACTCGCAAAGATCTGAATTAAACAAACTTTCTTCAACTGAAACCACATTCACACCGAACAATATACTACAGCAATTGCCCACATAGAACTAAATTTATACATAATCTATTTAATACAATAACAATGGAACAAATAGTTCCACTGTCCACAGAACAAGGAAAAAAACTGCATAGAAAACCAACCTGTCCAACCATTTAATCTAGTTCACCAAGGTGCTGAACACTTCAAAACTTACTCCATGCATACAGCTTTTGTCCCAAAGTGACAGGACAACAATAGAAAATGGCAATGTTTAAAACACCAAATCTTGAAGGACGCATACCTTATACAAGGTGATAAGAGACCAGAAATCTTATTCAACTTCCAGCAGAACAAACTGACTCTGATTGTGTACACATTACCATTTATTCCAGCTCCAGTGCACTCTCACCACTGATGTTTGAAGCCAAGTAGACGTGACATTAGCCACAATCCATAAACATAATGCAGTTTCTTGAGAAATATTTCTGATAGATGTGCTTTCCTTCAAATCAATTTCTATCTTATTTGAAAAGCTGTGGCCATTTGTAAGCCATGGTTAAGCTGAAGTATGTACATTTCCTACATCTGTTGCTCATGCACAGATGACAAATTCGCTGAATAAAAGTTCAGGGGGTTCACAAGACTTGAAAGACAGCTTGGAGAAACAACCTCACTGCACTGTAAGCCTCTCTCCATCTTCACCTATACTGGCCTAAATCAGCCTATTAAGTAGTATGGAAGCAATCCACTCCATCAAGAGTTCCTATGTGATAAGCAGTTCTACACATTATAGCAGTACAGTGGTACCTCGGGTTACATACGCTTCAGGTTACATACACTTCAGGTTACACACTCTGCTAACCCAGAAATAGTGCTTCAGGTTAAAAACTTTGCTTCAGGATAAGAACAGAAATCGGGCTCCAGCGGCGCGGCAGCAGTAGGAGGCCCCATTAGCTAAAAGTGGTGCTTCAGGTTAAGAACAGTTTCAGGTTAAGAACGGATCTCCGGAACAAATTAAGTACTTAACCTGAGTACCACTGTATAAGGAAGTCTGCACAATACTACTGCACAATACTACTGAATTTTCACTTTAAATTGTATAAGTCCCTACACACTGTAAGTTTGATTTAACTTCCTATCTCGAACATGTTTCTAATTAACCACATAAGAAGGTACTATAATAGTTGTTATAAACTAGGT